TGGGCTTCTTTTGTCCAAGGCTAGCACTTACCACTTGAGCCACAGCACCACTTCTGGCTTTTTCTGTTTATGTGGTACTGAGAAATTGAACCCAGGGCTTCATGCAGGCAAGGTAAGCACTCTGCCAAGAAGCCACATTCCCAGCACCTCCCTCTTAAAAAAATCAATACATTTTGTCTAATTGACTGGAGCTGTGTGTCTCCTCCCTTAGTTTTTGAGTTCCATTCTCTTGTCCCTGATCCTCAGCTATGATCTCCCCTCAGCAAGTACAGAGATGACTTCCAACCTGTCTCCCTTTAGAACCTTAGATTTCTATGCTAATCTCCTACTTAGGATCTCAAAACTGGTGTCCAATAGTCACCTCAGACTCCACAGACCTAAAACGAAATCAGATTCTCCTAATTTTCTCTACCACTAGCCTGTTTCTCTTCTAGTCTCCTCGTGGTGTAAATCCCAACTAGATATTCAAGTCAAAGTAAGATGACAACCTTTTCATTTATTAAGATTTTGCTTTTCCTTTTAGGAAAACAAAGCAAAATATTTATCTTGCAAAGGAGTGTGATGAGATAATATTGTCTCAGATTCAAGAGATAAAAGGAAAACATTTATCCTTAATTCTTTTAAAAAATTTATGGAGTGTACTTCTGTGTCAGTACAGCCCTTCTTGCAATTTGGTCTTTTCATTTTTATATAGAAAATGTACTCATCTCTATCCCTGTTAAACAGCTGTATTTCCACAAGGACAGTGTGGGCTAAATGATTTGGAATATGGAATAGTTATAGAAGTAAGAATGGTTAGTGCTCACATGATATTTTAAAATTATTTAGATTGGCGCAGAGTATCTGAAATTAGAAGTGTAAGTGTTAAAATTTTTTTTGGTAATACTGGAATTTTAAACTCAGAGTTTTGTATTGATAAGCTAATACTATACCACTTGAGCCATGCTCATAGCTGCTTTTGCTTTTTAAATTTTGTATTTTAAAGATAAGTCTTGTTTTTTGCCTGGGTACCCTAGACCATGATCCACCTATTTATATTTCCTGCCCTACTGTGATTACAGGCTCACACTCATCAGTTTTTTTCTCTGTTGAGATGAGTTCCCATGAACGTTTTGTTTGTGCTAGCCTCCGAATATGATCCTCTAGATCTCAGCCCATTGAGAAACCTGAGCCAGCACATACAGCTTAAATCAGTGGGACTTCTGAGAGTGATTTATGTGTTTCCGACTGATTAAAAGAGTGTTAAAGACAAATTAAGAATTTGAAGGAGACCATTCTGAATACTGAGATTATGCAGTAATAAAGTTCGTCCTGAAAATGAAAGGTAAGGTAGGCTTGGCTTTGCAGTTGGACTTAGCAGCTGCACAGATTAGAAGCAAGGAGAAAGCAATCCTTACATCTTTTTCTTCTGTATTCATCAGTTTCATTCTTCTTTTGGTCACTTGGAGGGATATTTCCAGTGTTGTTAGCAAGTGACATTTAACACAAGGTTTTATCAAATACTTGATAAAAACGAAACAATACGGACTAAGTTATAGAGAAAATAAAGAAGCTTGCTACAGTGTGAGAGAAACATAATCTATTCACATAGTGGTATCTAGGAACATTCTGTATGGAGCCATTGTGTGTGTGTGGGAATGCTGTTGAACCGAGTACTTTCTGATGTGCAAGCTGAAAGGTGCTTGGAGGGGCCTGGAAGTTTCATCTCTTCCAAATGTGACTCCACCTAACCTCCACCACCTGTTCTTGCATTCCCCTAGTCTCCAGAGATGATCATAACCAATCTTCTGGCAAGGTACCAAAATGTCTGTGTTGCCTGGATGAGAGGGAGATTCACAGATAACCATTCGTTGTGGCATTGAGTTGGAAGTGAATCTCTTTTTCCTCATTCAGATTCACTTTCTTGCTTCTCTAAGTCTTTTCATTTTCATTCTTTAGAAGAAGAAACACAAACAGGTGTTTACCAGAAGGTAGTCTCTTGATTGACTATGTCAGAACCACCAAAAGGTCCTACTCAGCATGCTGATATATGAGTACTGACCAATGCTTTCAGGAATAGGTTGGGTATCTCTGTTTTAAACATAACCCAGAATTTGAAAACCACTGGTATTAAAAGCTATTTTCCAGGACTTACTTTCAAGTATCTTTCTGTGAAGGTAGAGATTATCCAATTCTGATAGAATTCTGACTCAGTGAGAATGAATAAATAAATGGATAAATGTCTATAACCCCACAAGGAGTTTTGTGACTGGGTTATTAAGCTTCCGTGATTGATGTGCAAAGTATTAAATGCTCAATTGCCCAAATCTGAACAAACTCTGTAGGTACTGTTTGTTAAAGGATGATTCCAAAAGCATGCACTTATTTTTATGTTCAGGAAGGAAGAGTTAAATGGCATATAAAATATGTCAAATCAATTTACGATTGTGTACTGCAAGCAAACATCTAAAAATCTGCTTTCACTCTTGTATAAAATGGTGCCCTTGGGAAAGGTAACTGGTTGGTCAGAAATTCTGGTGAGTTCCAGGTTCCCTTTGGTATTCAGTTAAATAAAATATTACATATTGTGGAGAAGAGTAAGAAGCAAGAAAATCACATATGGATATAGTGTATTTTATTAGTTTGTGTGTGCTGGTTTAATTTATTTTTTACTTAATTTTATGACCTCCTTAATTTATTGGCTTCAGAATGTGGGCAAGTTTTGTTTAGGAAGGATAAGTTTATAACTTTAGAGGTAAAGTTTAAGTTTTGCTTGCATGAGAGATTACCTGTTTACTAATGTGGTCAATGTGAAATGTAAACAAGGTAAGTAAACCATCCATGTTATTTCAGATCTAAGTAGGAAAAGCCAAAGAGCATTTTTGGTATAAGTATTTGGAAAGTACACAAGAAAAGCAAACCTGAAATTAAAAATTAACACAGAATAATTCAAATTAAAATGAGTAAATCAGAAGATACCAAATTCTATGGCTAACAATAATTGTTCAAAAACTTCTGTTGCAGGCATACTATCTGAAATTAAGACCGTATACTCAAATGCTCCCTTAGTCCTTTTATTGAACTCAGCTGATGTTAAAAGTTAGGTTATGAGTTTTGATACAGCTTTTTAGTTATGAAATCTGAAACACAGACTGGCTGATTCAGAAATGAAAGTGCTGTCGAAATTCATGCTAGAACCAAGATCTTGGGGCTTATTTGTTGGGATTTCTTTGAGACCATTTAAAAAATTGTTAGCAATAGTAGTTTTTAATAGTTTTATTTATTTATTTTTTAACAAATCAGTACGCAGAGGATGACTGTTTGCATGGTTGGTATTTGCCATTCATATTTCTTGAATGTGAACTCATTGACATTATACATATGTCATTTAGTACATTATTTTCACCAAAGAATTTGTGAATCTCTGTCATATATACTTGTATGCATATGCCTATTTTTCTCATCACATTTCACTGGGGATTGGACTTTTGTCATGGCATTCTATAATTTGCAAGTACCAGAATGTATTTAATGTTCTCTGTAATTGGTTGGACTTTTAAGTTGTTTTTTAAGTTGATTTCAATTTGTCTACTTTTGTAGTCAATACTATGAGGACCTTTGTCAGAAATTTTTAAGGTTTATTATTTTTATTGTGAAAATACTGTACAGAGGACTTACAATTACATGGGTAAGATAATGAATACATTTCCTATCAAGCATTGTAGGCTCCTCCTTTGTTTCCCCTTCCCAACCCTTCCCATCCTCACCCCCCCGCTCCCCCCCAATCCTCCCCGTCAGAAAATTTTTATAGAATAAATTCCTAGAAGTAGAATTTCTGGATCAAACAAAATACTTAAACACTTAAACACTTTTAAATTTAAGAGTCATTGTAAAGTTGTCCTCAAAAATGATGTGTCAGGGCTGGAAATGTGGCTTAGTGGTAGAGTGCTTGCCTAGCATGCATGAAGCCCTGGGTTCGATTCCTCAGTATAAAAATATAAACAGAAAAAGCTGGAAGTGGCACTGTGGCGTAAGTGGTAGAGCGCTAACCGTGAGCAAAAGAAGCTCAGGGACAGTGCCCAGGCCTTGAGTTCAAGCTCCAGGACTGGCAAAAAAAAAAAAAAGGAAAAAAAAAGAAAAAGGAAGAACACAAAAAGAAAAAAATGATGTGTTAATTTATATTTTTATTAGCAATGCCTCAAGGGAGATAATTTTGAAATTTAATGAGCAATCCTGGGTTTTTCTAAACTCTTAAATGTTTGTAAATTCTTGGTAATCTCCTAAAGCCTTGTAAATATAACACAGGATTCTTATTTTAATTTTCTTCTGATTTACTAGCCAGATACTCCTCTGCACTTGGGTGTCCCATGGAGTCATACTGTAACCTGGCAGGTAGGGGGAGCCATACCCTGCCTGACTTGGCATGTAACTGTGGACCTTGTAAGACAAACAAGTTGGTGATCATTTTTTCCCTTGTTTAGCATTGCGGATCTGACTCATATACTCCTGCACAGGCACTACCATTGAGCAACTTCCTCAGCCCCAGGAATGGTTGACCTTACGTAGTCAGTCGACATCTCATGGAATGTCTTGTGGACAGTTGCCTCAATTTGTTGGAAGTAAACTTATCTTTTCTCTCTTTCCTTTCCTTCCTTTCTTCTCTTTTCTTCTTCATGTCTTCCTCCTCTTCCTCCCCCTTCTGCTCTTTCTCCGCATCCTCTTTCTTTTTTAGGTAGGGTTGCTCTGTGTAGCTTCTGATGTCCTTAGAATTCCTACCCTCCTGCCTTAGGTTCCAACCCTCTTTTTAAACTTGCTATTTCAATGCTTAATAGGAATAAACTATTCAACTACTCCATTGAACCATCAGTCAAGCATTAATAATGACCATCGTGATGCCACAACAAAACTATTTGTACTCAACTACTGTACCTTTAAACTTTGATTTCTTACAAAAATGAATTTAGGTCTGATTAAGTTATCTTAGATGCTGTACCTGCATAACATTTTCTTGTTTCACACAGGCATTCTTACATCGAATGAATCAGTGTGCAGCAGCAAAAGTTGACAAAAATGTAACAGAGGAAACAGTGAAGGTAAGGAGGTCCAGTGGTCTCTTGACACAATGCCAGCATGAGTTTCCCATAGATAGAAGTTCATCTGAGGCCCTTCCTTTGATTTATCTCCAGTTTTGCTCTTAAGTTCCTACCTTTGCTCACTTTTGTTGACAAAAGAGGAACTCAAAAAGAGGAACTAGTATTTAGGTGAGGACAGAGGGAATGGATTGAAAGTTACACAGAAATCTTGGAAATAGAAAAGAGGAAGCAAAATAAAATGCATATAAAAACTTCAGTGTCTACCAGAAGGAGGATGTTGAGCAAATTGTCAGAGCATGGCTGCAGATGGTTCCAAAAGGCAGAGCTGGGCAAATGTGATTTCTAGTCTCTGCGATTAATCACTAAATAATGAGGTTTTGATGGTCCACTGGGATGCAGAAAAGAAAATCCACGTAATATCTTCAATGCAGAAACAAATGGGTAAACATTTCTTTTTTTTTTTTTTGTCGGTGGTGGGGCTTGAACTCTGGGCTTGGGCGCTGTCCCTCAGCTCTTCAGCTCAAGGCTAGTGTCCTAATACTTGAACCACCACACCATTTCCGGCTTTTTTCTGCTTATGTGGTGCTGAGGAATTGAACCCAAGGCCTCATATGAGGCAAGCACTCTACCACTGAGCCACCTTCCCAGCTACAGTTTTTTTTTTTAAAGGAGGTAAACGGAAAATCATCCAATAGTGGTTATTCATTTAAGTTGTATACATCATCATTGATATTGATAGTTTTAACTTATTTTATTTTATCAAAAATATTCTAAGGATGTTTTTAAAGGTTCTTCAGGCTCTTCTTCCCTCCTCGTTTGAGATTTAACTCTCAATTTTTCCTCCCACGAGAATATTTTAGTGAGTGAGCTTTGGGCTGCAAGAGGAAAAAGCAACCTGTGATTTTTCAGATAGACTTGAGAAGGCTTTCACTTCTAATGAGGCACCTGAGAGGGAAGGAAAGGTTTCCAAGATGAATGTGGGGGGCCAGTTAGTTGTGAGAGTTTCCCCAAAGATTCACTCTGACATCTAGGGGATCAGCTCTGCCATGGAGCTGGCTCCTCCGCAGTTAAACACAGTGATGCTGTAACTGTCCCTTCTGTCACTTCCATAAGTGAGAGGTATCTTTTGGGAGGTAGGGAGAAGGAGAGAATCCCTTCCAGCCCACCCTTCTTAAGAGCAAAGGTACCCTTCTCCCAAAAGCCTACCAACAAGTCTACCTACGGCATTGCATCCCACTGTGGGGTGGAGCTGGCTTTTCTTGCTTGGACTTGCTCACTCAGGCTTGGAACTGATTGCCAGGCATAGGACCCTGGTCCCTAAGCTGTGCAGGAGTAGAGGAAAAGTCCAAGTAAAATGGAGTTTCTGCTAACTGGTGAAGAGGAGATAGGAAAGGATGTGGGCAGCTACTATCAATCCACAATGAACGTTTCAGTTCAGAGAGAGGATGTTGTATCATTTTTCTTTAAACTAGCGTCAATACTACACTTACTGACACATTTATTTTTACAGATGTTGTTCTCGAACATTGAAGAAATCCTTGCTGTACATAAAGAATTCTTAAAAGTTGTAGAAGAATGCTTACAGCCCGAACCTAATGCTCAACAGGAAGTGGGAACCTGCTTTCTCCATTTTGTAGGATATGCATATTTTTTTTCTTCTGTTTATTAAAAAAATTCTTCCCTCTTGGTGGCACCATCATATGTGTGAATTCAGCATTATTTTATTGGAAATAAAATCTGATATCCAAAATTTGGGGTCTTTTAAGGCCAGTGAAGTCTTATACTTGGAGCCAGAAGTAGGGAAAGAGGAAACAGGAGGCGTGCCTCTCATCATCTGTTTTACTCAGCCTTTTCTCTCCCTCCCCCACTCCAAGTTCATTCTTCCTATTCTCTGTAGCTTTGAATCCTAATGAATATTCAGGCTGTTCATAATGAATAGATTTTTTTTTATGTTTCTTCCAAACATAGAACATTTTCCTTTTGAGGCATAAAATCCTCACTCTTCTAATGGCGTGAGGAGCCTTTCATTAGTCCAAATGTTCTCCAGTTGGTCAGCTAGTGGCAATCCTGAAGGTGAACAAAATCCAGTGTCTGTGGTGGCTGGATTTTCCCTGAGTGTGGCTTCTTAGTTGTTCTGAGGGAATGAGGAGCCAGGGATCACAGCCTGTGCCTGGGCCATCACTTCCCTCTATGTAACTTCTAGACCTTTCTATATGTGATAATCTGTCTGTACTCTTAGGCGTTCTTTTAGTAATCAGGAAATATTTCGTAAAGGTAATTAATCATTGAAGGGAGAATCTCATTGAGTGTAGGGAAGTTAAGCTGTACTTTTTTTAGGCACAGCTGGAAGGCGAGTGTTTGTGTCCACTTATTTTAGCCTGTTTCCTTTCAAGAAAGTCCTAGAATTTTGTGCCAGCTGGAGTGGCTACTGCATTAGACCAGGCCAGCAATGAGACTCTTGCTCCTTAACATCCATTTTCATAGTAACCCTTCTTATGAATCTGCTATCCATGAATTTAGCTAAACTGTTTCTGAGCTTTGTTTTATTTACCTGGCTTGAGATACCGTAATTCAATATTCTGCTGTATTAAACAGTATTCTGTACTAAATAGTCCTTATGGTTTCTACTTGCTTGCCTTTGACATCTTAGAACACATACTTCTGTTCCAGTATTTGATCAATATTTCTTTTCTTTTTTGTGTGTGCCAGTACTGGAGCTTGAACTCAGAGCCTAGAAGCTGTCTTGTAGCTTTTTCACTCAAGGCTGGCTCTCTACTGCTTGAGTCATAGCTCTATACTTCCGGATTTCTGGTGATTAATTGGAGATAAACATCTTTAAGACTTCTCTGCTCCAGCTTGCTTTTCTGCTCAAGGCTAGTGCTCTACCACTTTGGGCCACAGCTCCACTTCCAGATTTCTGGAGGTTAATTGGAGATAAGAGTCTCATGGACTTTCCTGCCCAGGCTGGCTTTGAAGTATGATCCTCAGACATCAGCCTCCTGAGTCGCTAGAATTACATTTGTGAGCCACAAGCAGTACATTTTTATGTTACTTTTTTAAAAATTGGCATTTGAAAGTCACTAGTTACTTTGGGAAAATCTTACAGATGGGAAGGACCTTAAAGAGCATTAAAACAAAATTCTTCCTCTTTTGAAAGAATCCCTCTGTCCATCTGTGAAGACTTTATTTGACCCTAGTTTGTAACTTTTAATGGCAGCTCTAATTCTTCTAAGAACTCCTTATTGATCTCATATCTGCCTTGGCAGTGTCCACCTAATGGTCCTATTATTATGTTTTTAGTCTACACAGAAGGCCAGTCATTTATGATATGATAGCTATTTGCAAGTAGCTACTCTCCTCTCACTCTTCTAAACAAACAGACATGTTTCTCTGAAATGACCTCTGAGATGTCCTATGGGGGGTCTCATGGTCTGTCGTTATTGCCCTGTATTCTTGTATATATCAGTGTCCTTCTTAAACACAGCTGTCTAGTTTGGCAATTGGGAACTTCAGGGCATCTTCTGCTGTTCCTCAGTGATCTGGAAACCATTTCTCTCTATCAAATGACAGTCTTACCTCATCTCCCTGCTTGGGAATCATGAATTTATCCCATTAGACTGGCTAAGAAACTCAGAAATTGAATCTTTTTTTTTCTTGCTGTGCCTGTTCTGGGCTTGAGCTTAGGGCCAGGTGCTGTCTCTGAGTTGAGCTATTTTTTACTCAAGGCTAGTGCTCTACCACTTGAGCCACCGCTCCACTTTTGGCTCTTCAGTGGTTACTTGGAGATAAGAGTCTCATGCTCTTTCCTGCCTGGACTGGCTTTGAATTGTGATCCTCAGATCTCAGCCTCCTGAGTAGCAAGGAAGACAGGTGTGAGCTAAGAGCACCTCACTAGAAGTTACATCCTTTTAAGGCTGTATCTGAATTCTCAGGGCAAAGCTAAGCACTCTTTACTTTGTCACCAGTTAGATTATTTATATTGCTGCATTCAACATATTAGAGTATAATTGATATGTGTTTCTTTACTGTTTTTAGGCTATACTTTTGAGATTAGGGAAATAAATGTAATTTGTATATATAAACATACAGTATAGCTTTTGAGACATAGTAAACACTTTATAAGCTATATGCATATCATATAGGCTAGAATCTCAAAGTGGTAATAAAATGACCCTATTATGTCTTAAATTCACAGAAGGACAAGTTTCGTATCTATGATGAATATTGTAGTAACCACGAGAAGGCACAAAAATTGCTTCTTGAACTGAACAAAATAAGAACAATCCGGACATTTCTTTTGGTAAGTGTGTATTTATGTGTTATCATATGCTGATAATCATGAGTGGTTAGAATCAAGGAATAGCATAACATCAGAGGTCAAAAGCTGTTTGTGAAAATGACTTTTGTTATAGCCAGGCTAGGAAGCTAGGATCTTTCAGTAACTGCTTACATGAGAACTGGGATAAGCTTGCAAGTACGGCATATGTCCTCTCCTGGTTGGCTAAAAATCTGAGTGAGTGACGAGCGTATGCGGGAGTTCATCATGCTTTCCATCTTTAGCCCACAGGGTTTCATTTGCTTCTAGGGAGATCTTTAAATAGAGCAGTCACAGGAAGAAAGAAAAGATCATATCCATAAGATAGAACATGCATGTAAAGATTGACCTTTCTCCTACATATAGTCCTTACTCAGTCTTCATAACACAGCAAGAATATACATTTAATTTTTTCCTTTTTCTTTCTTTTTTTTTTTTTTTTTTGGTCAGTCATGGGGCTTTACCTCTGGGCCTGGGCGCTGTCCCTCAGTTCTTCAGCTCAAGGCAAGCGCTCTACCACTTGAGCCGCAGCACCACTACTTCCTACATGTAATTTTTTAAAGGAAGCACACATAAATGCCTATTTAGTAGCTACTTGGAATATTCTAATTGCCACTGATGAGCACATTATAATTATTTAGTTCAGTGATATCAAGCAAACTGTAGAGTTGTCCAGTTACCACTCGAGTCCAGTTTTAATACATTTCCATCATCTAAACATTTCTTGAAGTCTCTTACAGCCCATGTCTCCTTTTTCCACTGCAAACATTGATTTGCTTTCATCTCTCCAGATTAGCCTTTTCTAGAGATTTTATATAAATGGTCCAAACAACGTAATCTTTTGGGCCTGACATCTTTTACTTGTAAATTGTTTCTTATACGCATCCTTAAACCATATATCTATTTTCCTTTCCATTGTATAGGTACCCTATATTTTATCTATTTACCAATTAACAAACATCAGATCTGGTTCTTGTTTATAGCAATAACTATTATATATAATATATAATTTATTATATACTGTTACAAAAACCTTCATGCACAAGTCATTTTGTGTGCATACATTTTCCATTCTTGGATAGATAGCAAGTGGAATTGCAATGTGTAGTTTTATATTTAGCTAAGAACTTCCTATTGGCAGTTTCTGTGCCATTACTATTATCCTGTGTTGAGGATTCTGGTGTCTCTGTATCTTTGCCTGCACTTGGAGTTTCCAGTCTTTCTGATGATTGCCACACTATTGAATTTGTAATAGTGTCTTATAGAGATTTAAGTTGCCTGTTTTCTAATGACTAATAATGCTAAACATAATTTCATGTAGTGATTGGCCATTCATAACTTTTTTGGTGATCTGCTTATTGAAATATTTTGCTTATTTTAAAATTGGAATGTTAATCTTATATTGAACTCTAAATGTTAAATTGTTCTGGGTACCAGTTCTGTTTTGTATATATAGTTGTATACCTAGAATGATGAATATTTCTCCCTAGTCTGTTCATCAGAAAGTATTTTTTGTAAAATTCAAGAATTTTGAATATTAATGAAATCCGACTTATTACATATTTTGCATTGTGACCATGCTTTTCTAGTTTAAGTATTCTGTATTCAAGGACTTGTACTTATTTTAAGTGTTTCCCTAAATATTTCATTCTTTGTTATTCTGATTAGAATTATCTTAGTATCATTTAATTGAGCATTGCTAAGATATAGAAACTCAGTTGGTTTTATTCTAAATTTATCTAAATTTATGTGTTAATGACAGTAGTTCTTCTATAGATTTTTCTGCCTTTTTTTAAAAACAGATTCTTGTTTGAAAATTAAAACAGTGTCACTTCTGTTTCAGTGTAGATGTCTTATTTTTTCTTGCCTTATTGCACTGGCTAGTACCTTCAGAAAATTATTGACTAGAAGTGCTAAGAGCAGGCATGCTTTTTTTGCTGAGGGTCACAGTGGGGAAACAGTGAGATATTGAAAGCTGTGGGCTTTGGTAGGAATTCTTAATTTCCTATTATATTCCTAGTTCATTGAGGGTTTTCATTATGATCTTTTTTCTTTTATAATGTAAATGTTTAAAATGATGGCATATTACCGTATGACATGAATATGGTTTATATGAGTTAATAAAGCTATGCATTATTATTTATATTTTATTTATCCACTTAATGAAATGTGATACTGAGTTCATATATATCTCTTTTCACCATCTAATTTCGTCAGTTTTTGCTTTATTTATTTTGGGACTCAGCTGTTAGATGGTATCTATACATTCATGGATTTTATATTTCTATTTTTATTTATCATTATGAGAGGTTATTCTTTTCCTTGAGTTTTATTTCTTCTGTTAATATCTACTTTTCCTGACATTATTTATAGTCATGATGGCTCTTACTATCTGTAATTCTATGTTTCTTTTTTTTTTTGTTGTTGGTTGTAGGGCTTTGAACTCTGGGCCTGGACACTGTCCCTGAGCTCTTCAGCTCAAGGCAAGTGTGTTCTATCACTTGAGCCACATTTCCGGTTTTCTGGTGGTTAATTGGAGATAAGAGTCTTAGGGACTTTCCTACCTCGGCTGGTTTGGAGCTGCAATCCTCAGATCTCAGCCTCCTGAGTAGCTAGGATTATAGATGTGAGCTACCAGCACCTGGCTTGTAATACTATGTTTGTCATATTTGGTTAGAAACTGTTTCTAGGTTTCAAATTGGTTTTAGTTAGAAGTTGGAGATTACTTTTTAAAAATCTACTCTGTCAATATCTGCCTTTTTTTTGAGTGCTTGTTTAAACTTTATTGTAATCATTCTTTTGTGTATATATGTACTATTTGTCACTTTTTCCTATCTGTTTCATTGTTTTCTAAATCTACTTCACTCCTCTAACATATTTTTGTGTCACATATTTTTAGTGTACTATATTTCCTATTGATTCTTTAATCTATATTTTTAGGTTTCCTTATTTAAGTTATTGTTCTAGAAATTACACTGTGTCATAATTTATCAAGTTCATTTTAGGTTGATACTGACTATAAAATATATGGAAATTTTTTGATATATTTCCTGGGTAGAAATGGAAAATACATCAAAAAATTAAAAAAAACTTAAAAATTAAAAAAATCTTTGAACATACTTATATTTTAACATACTTATATGTTTTTTTAAGTCTTTGCTAAATCTAACATCTGGGTACACTTGTAGTTTTTACTATGTTTGAGTCATGTTTTCCTGTTCCTTTGAAAATCATGCTTTTTCAGTTATAAAACTGAACATCTTAGCTGGGTGCTTGTGGCTCATGCTTGTAATCCTAGAAACTCAGGAGGTTCAGCTCTGTGGAGCTTAGCTGATTCTAAGCCAGTCTGGGCAGGAAAGTTTGTGACACTCTTATCTCCAATTAAGAACCAAAAAGTTGGATATAGAGCTGAAGTTAAGTGATAGGCCACTAGCCTGGAGCAAAGAAGCTCAGAGATAGTGCCTAAACCCTGCTTTCAAGCCCCAGGTTCTACGTGTGTGCGTGTGTGCCTGCGTGTACGCGCGAGTACACACACACACACACACATGGAAATGGACATTTTAAATTACCTTTTACAGCAATTCTGGATTCTGTATTTTCTTCCTGAAATAGGTTATAGTTGTTGTTGTCGTTACTATTATTATTATTTATTTATTTTTGCTAAGTTGCTCAGACTTTCTAAGTATCTCTGTCCTTTTGACTATGCAGCTGATATCTCTGTTCTGCTTATTTTTACAATTCAGGCTTACTTTTTTAGAGATCCCTCTGGGGACTGTGTAGTTTAATAGCCATTCAGTGATATGTCAGAGAAATTTAGCTATCATTAGCTTTCTTCTGTATGGATCTCTGTGTGAGGGTATGGGCTGGTATTTTCAAAGGTCAGGTGGTATGCCAGAGTTTAGGTTTCTCCTCTTATAGTATTCTTTTAGGTCTTTCCTGTATATACACAACTGCCCAGTTAGCCAGAGAGAAATGCAGTTTCCCCAAGCCATCTCTAACTCTCTTGGTTAGCACTGTTAAATTATGAGTTATTTTTTAGTCTGTCACTTGCCCCAAGCTGGACTGTAATTTCAGGCTAGCATTGTGTGAATTTCCTGCTTTTCTTATGAAATGGACTGATTTTATCAACAACACTTATGGGTGTGGGATTTTTTTTCTTTTTCTTTTCTTTTTTTTTGCCCTTAGCATCCTCTTTTAGTCCCCTTTAGCATGAAGTTCTCTGGTGGGCGGGTGCGGCTCTGATGGAACTAGCTTAGCCTTGTTTGTGTTGTGACTAGTGTAAAGTCCACTAAGGGGGTCACAAGCCACCATGCTGCCATCAGGTGACCATACGGTTACTCGGTAGTTACTCTGTACTAATTGGCTACACATTATCTGGATGACTTTTAGGCATTTTCTTATATTTCTAGTATCATTTTCCTTATTCATAAAACAGGAATGAGAAACACCACGTGAAAAACATCCAAGGGTTTCCAAGTTCAGAGTGAGGATAGTGTTTATTTTTAGGCCTTGGTTATGGTGCTACCTCTGTAAGTTTTTCTGACCCATGAAAGCTCTGGAAACTTAGGAAACACATCAATTGTTTCTTCAGTGATGGGGACTATTTTTATTTTCCAGGCCCTAACATCTTTATTGGCAAATATTACTTGTACAAAAGCGTTTCACTGTGATATAATATGAGATACTGGAAGTATAAGATGTGGATAATGGTGTTTTTAAGAATTTTTCTGAGGGAAAGAATATTTTGATGACTTGGGGATGTGATAGGGGATAGAACTAACATGTACTTTGATCAATTTCACCCTGCCATTATCACTCATTTCTAACCCTCTCCTGCTTCCCCCTTCCTTTGAGTTGTTTTTGGTGAGTTTTAAGATGTTACTTTCAGACATTCATAAACTGTAGTAGTGGGGTTTGAACTCAGAGCTTTGTGCTTACTAAGCTGAGGCTTTACCACTTGAGCTATGTCTCTAGTGCTGCTTTTTGCTAGTTAGTTTAGAGATGGAGTCTAACAAACTTTTCTCAGGCTGCTCCTGACCTGTGATCTTCTAGAGCTGAGTCTCTTAAGCAGCTAGGATGACAGACATGAACCATTAGGGTGGGCAGGGCACATATTGTTTATGTGTATACAAGGAAAGAGCCAGTTAAAAGTGGTGGCACATCTCTGCTCTACCAAAGAGTTCACAATCTAACCAGGGAAAGGAAATTGAAATGCATTAAAACTCTACTTGCATTCTCTTAGGACCTTCCAGCCCAGAACTAGGTAAGGGGATGGCCACATTTATTGGGGTGGTAACTCATGCTGGAACACTTGGAATACTGAAAGTATGAGCAGTGAATAATTGTGCTTTTGAAGACTGCTCTGGGGGAAAATACCATACATAGTTTGAAAGAAGCTTGTTTTGATCGTATGGGGATTAGATAGGTAATGGAACTACCCAAGAGCATTGTGGGTAAAAACAGACATTTGCTACTCTGTCTTTCCTGGTGTCCTGTGAAGTTGTCTTTGTGGCTCTGATTTTGCTGTCTTGGATACACAAATTGGGGCCCAAGGCAGAGCTGTTAAGGACAGCAAACAACTGTTTTACATCCTTTCCTGTTTAGCCTTTGCATTCTCTCTCAATGAATGCGGAACAATCACATTTAGCAGTTTGATACCTGAGAGATCTTCTCCTCCCTAATGACTGTCACTCTGATAGGAATTGCAGGTCTCTAGTCTGTTTTCTGATTGCTGACTTTAAGCTTTCTCCTTTCCCTTTCTGTGGAAATTCTTCCCGATTGCCTCCTCTGATACTAGGTAGCAGCCTGGTAACTTCAGTGGAGTAGAATAGCAACAGAGACTTTAGAATAGGTTAAAATCTGCCACTTATCCCCTTTTGTCATTGTACTTGATTTTGATACCCTGCATCTTGTACATACATTTATCTAATTTAGGTAGGTGAAAGGGAATAACAAAATGCTGAAATGAGGACACAGGATAACCCATTGCAACAATGAGATTTAATGTTGGAAATGAACTTTATACTTTGGTGGGGGGAGAAGGAGAAGATTGAGGGACACGAGGGAGGGAATTACAGGAAAAACAAAGGAGGAGGTAATAATGCTTGACAAGAAATATACTCATTACCTTACTCATGTAACTGTAACCCCTCTGTACAGCACCTTCAGAATAAAGTAAAATTTTAAAAAGTCTGCCACTTTTTCAGAGAGGAAAATTAGAACTCTGAAATCTGTCCCAGTTGTATATAGAAAAAAAATACACATTTTGGTTTCTATATCCAATATAAAATCAGAAGTGCTTTTCTTTGACTCTATGAAAGTGTTACTTATGGCTGAAACCAGAACATCTTATTAAAGAAAGAAAGTATCCAATGATACATGTTTTCCTGTCTTCTCAGCATAAGCTTTTATGATAGACAAGTTTCACAGCCAGGCGCTGGTGGATCATGCCTGTAATCCTAGCTACTCAGGAAGCTGAGCTCTGAGTATCATGTTTCAAAGCCAGCCTGATCAGGAAAGTTCATGAGAGTCTTATCTCCAATAAAGCACCAGAAAACCCGAAGTGGTGCTGTAGTTCAAGTGGTAGAACATTAGCCTTGAGCTGAAGAGCTGAGGGACAGTGCCCAGGCCCAGAGTTCAAGTCCCATGCCCATCAAAAAAAAAAAAGTTTCACAGCCTTGGGTTTAATAAACATACTTACGGATGCTTCTTTTCAACCCAGAACTGCATGTTGCTTGGCGGACGAAAGAACACAGATGTTCCCCTGGAAGGATATTTAGTAACACCAATACAAAGGATATGCAAGTATCCTCTCCTTTTGAAGGTATTTTATTCTTTGTACCTGCTTATTTTCCTGGTCTTTTTAAAGAATTACTTTTTAAAGAGCCTAGTATTCTAAAAAGATATTTTCTAAAGGCAAAGCATAATTATTGGAAAAAAAGCTGTATTTTGTTACTAATTTATATATGAAGTAGGAAAGAGATTGTTAGTGGAAAAGCCACTAAAAATGGCTTTTAGTGCCTTTTTGCAAAAAATACACTTGTTTGAGATTCATGGAGAGGACCTACATTAGTTTCAAATGAGATCCAATTAAGTCTGTGATGATTGTTAATGTAGTACTTTAGCTATCAGGCTCATTATTTTTAATAAATCCAATGTTTATATATATATTTTTTGATTTTCAAAAACTTTGGTGACTTTTGTGATGCCAGTGAAGTTAAAGTCAACATATCTGAGCTTGGATTTTAAATGATTGTTTTAAGTGAATGCTTTGGGTCAGTATGGAACAATAAGGGACAGAAATGGAATGAGATTGTTAAGAACATGTAACCTTTTTTTTTTTTTTTTTGATTGTGGGCTTGAACTCTGGGCTTGGGCTCTGTCCCTGTGCTCTTTAGCTCAAGGCAAGCACTCTACTGCTTGAGCCACAGTGTCACTTCCGGTTTTCTAGTGGTTTATTGGAGATAAGAGTCTCATGGACTTTTCTGCCTGAGCTGGCTTTGAACCATGATCGTCAGATCTCAGCCTCCTGAGTAGCTAGGATTACAGGTGTGAGCCACTGGTGCCCAGCTAGAACATGTAACCTTTTAAAGACAAGAAATGCTATACTAATGACCCTAGGTCTGTTGCTTCATTGTAATTGCAAATGCTTTTATTGTGACCAGTGTATAGTATATAAATGATAGCAGTATGTGAAACTACAATATTTAGAATGATACATGTTAGGGTAGGTAATTTGGGATGGTAGTTAAGCACCCAAGCCTCAAGTTTAAACCCTCAGTGTTTTGCTTTCTAGCTCTCTGACTGGAGTGTGTAATCTAGACCCTTAATACTTTTTAAATGAAACAGAGTTGATGCTGTAAAAATTATAGCTGTACCTAGAATAATGTATATATGTATGTGATTGGATATATGTTTGTATGAATAAATTACTTAGAGGATTTTCAGTAATAATTAAGTTAACTTTTATATACATCATTTAGTGTCATATGGACTCCCTAAATACTAGCAGTTATTGTTCATATTTTGATTCTGATTTAATATTTTAATTATTAGCATCTAAACTTTGCTTTGTTCATTCCCGTACTAGGAATTGAATTTAAGGTCTCCTGCTCCTGCTTCCTCTTTGTTATTCAAAAGTCTGGCACTCTACCACTTGAGCCACATCTCTACCTCTAGCATTTTGTTAGTTTATTAGAGATAAGTCTCTCAGATTTATCTCTTTATTTTGGCTTTGAGCTTTAGTCTACACATCTCAGCCACCTGAGTGGCTAGGATTAGAGGAGTGAGCTACTGGCACCAGACTACCATCCATACTCTTAAAAACACTAGGAATGTCATGAATATAGTAAGTTTTTAATATGGTGATTTATAATGTTTTGCTAGAGTTCTTTTTTGCTAGAGTTGTTTGAGCTAAGGGCTTCTTGCTTACTTTGAAAGCCATACCCCCAGCCCTTTTCATTTTAGTTGATTTGAAATAAGGTTCACCTCAAACCAGCTTGGGAGTACCATCCTCTTACTTACGCAAGAAATGACTGGTGGGTGTCATTTTGTCCAGCTTATTGTTAAGATGTAGACTTGTTATCTTTTTGCTTAGACTGCTTTTGAACTGACCTTCTTATCTCCACTTCTGGGTAGCTGGGATTATATAAATGAGCAATAGCACCTGGCCCTTAAAAGCTATTAATTTGAGCTCCATATATATATACATATATATATATGTGTATATATATATATATATTGCACACACACATATATATACACACACACTCACATATATATACATGTCATTGTCATTCAAATGAATTATCTGTGTAAAATTTGTTGAAGAAGGATCACTTCTTGATTAAAAAACACCCCAAGTCTAAAGTTGCTTGGCTAAGCCATGAAAAGCCACACAGGGAGGTGAACATACCAATCTCCAGTTGTGTGAACCTTTGACACAGTGTTTACAGTGTCAGGTGTATTCATGCCAACACAACTCTTACTGAGAATTACCATAGATCTCCAACTCAGGGATGTACTTTGCATGTATCCTTATAGTGACAATTATTCTGCTTTGTTTTACAACATATCTTGACAAAGTGATTTTTCTTTTTTTTGGTTGGTCATGGAGCCTGGGCCCCACTCTGGGCCTCGGCGCTGTCCCTCAGCTCTTCAGCTCAAGGCTAGCACTCTACCACTTAAGCCACAGTGCCACTTCCGGTTTTCTGGTGGTTTATTGGAGATAAGAATCTTCTGGTCTTTCCTGCATGGGCTGGCTTTGAACTGTGATCAGAGCTCAGCCTGCTGAGTAGCTAGGATTGCAGGTGTGAACCACTGGTGCCTGGTGACAAAGTGATTATTTTAAATCACACATTTCTTCTGAGGGATGGTCTTGAGTGTTTGAACTGACTTCTCAAAAATTGTTATGATGGATACAACCTTGCCATGGAAGATCAGTTTAGAGACCCTTTCAGGAGCAGAGAGATAACATCATCTTCATGAAAATGGGAAATTATCTTCATGAAGAAACATGGAAAAACTGTTTATTCACATAGAAGGTACTTTGGTGTTCCAGCAGCTGAAAAAATGCTGGCATTCTCTTTTATCTTGGGTGGTTTTACTTATCCTGAGAAAAATATTGAAGGGATTGGGCTGCAATCACAAGATAATAATAGTTTGATCTTACTTGGTGAACTAGAAATAATTAACTTAGCCAGTCAACACAAAGTTCAGAGTAAGTAACTTCCCAAACATTGGTACTGTTTTTGGCCATTTCATCTAATCTAAATCCATGTCTCACCTCCATAGATACCCACTGGGTACTACTTAGAAGTTCTTTCCCTTAGAGTGTCTTGAGAAACCTTATTTGAGCCTTATTTGGATCACAGATTTGTGATCCAAGATAGTTTTGTCAAGCTCCTTTTGGGATGTGTGAGGTGATATGTTCTCCCTCTGTGTTAGCTTTGCATGATTGTGTCTGAAAGTACTGAATGCAGGATCAACAAGAAAACAACTAGTAGCCTACAAGAACTTCTTGCTTTCCCATTTCATGAGGAATTTTGAAAATTCTTTCAAAGTTTTGCCTCAGGGTTTTTGTAATGGTATTAGCGCTAGGATGAAGGCAACTGTCTGATGGCAACTGTTGTACAGAGACATGTGACTAATTAAAAAATAATGTGGTCACAACTGTCTAGACAGTGGATGATGATGTTTAATGTGATGTCCTCTAAATTACAGCGAACAAGACCTTATAAAATGATGAAAAGATGAGAGATTTCTCTAATTTTGATATCCTAAATGGAAAAATATAAATAAATGACTTCCCCTAAATCTCAAACATCAAAAGCAATAAAGGAAACTATTGGGTATATGAATATGGGTTCATAAAGAGAAAATGAACCCGGGTAATTGGTGAAAACATCACAAATTGCCCTGTTAGTTATGGAGATTTGAAGCATTCACAAATTATTTATTTTGTTGGAGTAGAATCCATATACGAAGTTTGCTTTTACTTGGGAACTATTTTCATATTGTCTCCAGAGATGTTACCACAAAGAATTTAACTTAGTTTTGAAATTATAGGATGGATTTATTTGAGAATTAATTCCGTGAAAGACTCAAGGAAAACAAAATTTACACATACAGTTGTGCTTTTGTGAAAACAAAAGTCTAACTTATATAAAAAAATTACATGCTCCAAGGTAAGCTCTTTGGTCATTTTAAAAGAGAAAACTCACTCCATTGTTAAAAACCAACTGTGTATGGAAAGTAGCTGCCAAATTGCAGCAGGACAACACTTGCTCAACCTATTGCTTTTGATCTAATCTTAGTGGAGTTTGTGATGTCAGTCAGGGAAGTGGCTGTCCTGATCTTGGTAGTCTTCACTTCCTGATCAGTCTGCACCTGGTGTACCAGAAAACTGAAAGATGAAAAAACATTTTTCTTTCATGTATGAACAGGAGTTGCTGAAGCGGACTCCAAGGAAGCACAGTGATTATGGGGCAGTGAATGAAGCTCTCCAAGCCATGAAAGCTGTCTGCTCCAATATCAACGAGGCCAAGAGACAGATGGAGAAGCTGGAAGTTCTAGAGGAATGGCAGTCTCACATTGAAGGCTGGGAGGTACAGTCCCTTTGCTCAAGTACCGCACTTTCAGTTGTTCTCTAGGTCATGTTTTATGTGAGTAGAATTATTGACATTGAATGGAACGAGAAGTAGTCATGTTCTTAGTCATTGCTAAAGGACTGCAATCAGTTCTGAAATGTGCTTTCATCATTATCTTACGATTGATTGTGTGTGTGTGACAGTACTGTGGCTTGAACTCAGGGCCTCTCGTGCTTGGCTTTTTTGCTCAGTGCTGGTATTTCTACCACTTGTAGTCAAAAATATACTTATGCATTTCTGCTAACTAATTGGAGATAAGAATCTCATTGACCTTTCTGCCATGGCTATCTTCAAATTGTGATTCTCAGGTCTTAGCCTCTTAAATATTAGGATTACAGGTGTGAGTCACCAGTGCCCAGCTATTTTAATATCTTTTTTTGAGTGGAGAAACGTGTGATGGAGCTGATATTGAGTGCTAAGTCTTGGTATTTCAGAATTTGTGCATCGTAAATAATTCTTTTTCCTGTCTTAAGTTTGGTCCAGAAGTACCTAGTCAGAATCCTTGAGAGAATAAAAAATGCATGTAAATTTTATTATGTGTGCTGAGGCATTATTTTCAGACTTTAGAAAGTTGATGTTGAATTCCACTTTAAGTATACCTAATCTGTCTGTTTGATTTATTTCTACAAGGGAGAAACTATGTGATTTGGTTGTTAAATTCTATTCAAGATAGAAAAAAAAATGTAATGGTCTCATTGAATATTAAAGCAAGTTCCTTTCCCCCCTTAGGATGTGATTTCACTCTATACCCTAGGCCTGCCTGGAACTTGCTATAGCTTCCAAAATAGTGAGATAATAGGAATTCTCCACAATACCTGGCAAGGAAAGATTTCTCTCTCTCTGTATACATATATATATGTATGTATATATATATATATGTGTGTGTGTATATATATATATATATATATATATATGAAGAATGTAGTTTAGAATTTGGAAGATGTTTTCAGCTGTGGTTAGTTTAAGCCCCCAGTTATTTCATCTCGTTGGAATTTTATATTACTTTTACTGCTACAAACTAATAAATAACCTCCCCCAAGTCCCCTAAAATTCTGTATTTAAATTACCTTAATTTAAGTGAGTGTGAACTTTCCACTTGTATAAATTTTCTCATGTTATAAACCAAAGTTAAGCTAATAAAGAATTAAAAAGTAAGCAAGATTGACTAGTTCTCAGCCAAATACTATATCATATAAATTCAAGTGGATACAAATCTTTAGGGATTTCTAGTTGACTAATTTGTTTTCTTATCTTCAATATATTGATTTTCATTTAGAACTAAAATCATATCTGGACAGATATTCACAGATTTCTCAATTCTGAGGGAATTCTATTTGTCCACACTCCTCTCTGATCTGTTCAAATGCACCCTGGGTTCTGATTTAGCTTCCTCTTCATCTGCATTCATCAACTTCAAGTGTCCAGGGTGACCTCTCATTTCGCCATGAATGCTATCTCTTTCAATCAGTTAGAATGGCTGTGTGTTTTACAGCTGATTCATGATGATAATTCCTTTCCTGGGGAGCAGCTGTCCTGCTGGGATGAGAAAAATGGAGTGAAGTTTGCTTTTGCAGTTCTGTTGTCACTCAAAGGTTGGGAGAAAACCCAAACTCCTTTAAGTTTCAGGATTTGTCAGTGAACTTTGCCAGGCCTTTTACTAAAACAAGAACTTAAAAAAGAAAACTCTTTTCAGAACTTTTAGGGAAATGGAATCTGATTTTGTGTTTCCTTCTGGTGTGGGTTCTAAAGACTGAATTTACTGCAGAAACTGGAGATTTCTTAACACTTTTGCTATTGTTTGCGCAGTATGCACTGGTTACTCAAAGGAAAATGGATGTGCCTATCACAACAGAGGGTACCTCTGTTGTGAGCTACCATAGTTCAGAGCTTCTGAAGTACTCGAAGGGCTACATGTTAACACTTGTTGGCAAATGATGGAAACTTTTGGAGCTGAAGCCTAGTGGAACAAAGTTTGGTTATAGGGGGTGGGTCCTTGAAAGGGATATTGGAACTCTTGCTTTTCCCTGTTTCTCTTACTTCCTGGCCAGTGGCCTTGTCTACTATGTACATGCTCTTACCATGATATTCTGTGCTGCCACAGGTCCAAAGCAATATGGCCCAGTAACTGTGGACTGAAATCTCTGAAAATGTGAGCCAATGTAATAATTTCATTCCTTTCAGGTATTTGTTACAGTGACAGAAAGCTGACTAACACACCAATATTTCTGTTAGAGTACTGAGTACAAGGGAAATGGAGCAACAAAGCTGAAGAAACGTAGTAGAGTTTGGCTATTCTGTAAAATAGTCAGGAAATCAGAAATAACTATAGCTCCCTCAAGGACAGGAGCTGTGTGAATATGAATGGTTAGTTGCCAGGAGAGTGACAGCACTAATTCCCCTTGAGTAGACTTTGATAGTGAGAGTGTGAGATGAGCCATTCAGAGTGCTGGGAGTTTTAGGACTTCCAGTGCTGTAGCTTGGAGCAGGGCTCATTTATCAGACACCTGGTTCCTGTTTGCATTCCACCGATGTGGAGAGAGGGGAAAGCTATGGGTGTCATCCATGAGGTTTAGGAGAAACTGCTCATCTGGTAAGAATGCATTGAAGAGGTATTTATGAATTGCTCACAGGACTTAGTGCTCATTTTGGGAGACAGTGGTTCTTATTGAATCAGTACTGGGCTTAGTTTAGATGTAGATGGCATGGTAGTTATGGAATCCAGCACTTCTTGAGCACGGTTTGTGGCTAGGAGTGTTGGGTAAATGGTAGGAAAAATAGCTTCCTATCAAGTTCATTCCATAAGCTCCTACAAACCTTTCAGGATATTTCAGGATATGTGTCAGGAACTAAAAGTCCTTTGAATGGCAATTGAAGTCTGACACACAATGAGTGTGGACTGTTTCCAACTCAGTTAAAATTGTGTCATCTAAGTCAATTAATGTCTCAATGAAATGAACTTGTGTTTTTCATAATGAATTCTCACTAACTCTTGCAGCTTAATTTGGTGCAACTAAATCCTGTATGTAGAATGTAGGTACACAAACAATTGAAATTTATTCTTTCCAAATCTTATGCCATTGTTTAAAAAATGGCAGACTCCGACTCATTTCTTGGAGGCAGACCCATCAGATATCTTTTTTTTTTTTTTGCCAGTCCTGGAGCTTGAACTCAGGGCCTGGACGCTGTCCCAGAGATTCTTTTGATCTAGGCTAGTACTCTACTACTCCAGTCACAGCACCATGTCTGGCTTTTTCTGAGTAGTTTATTGGAGATAAGGGTCTCATAGACTTTTCTGCCCAGGCTGGCTTTGAACCATGGTCCCTGATCCTATCCTCCTCAGTAGCTAGGATTACAGGAGTGAGCCACCAAAGCCTGGCTGTCAGATATCTTTTATACATAGTTTGCATAATTGCAAGGGTCAAATCAAGTGAAAAATGCTTTGAATGTAATGAAAGTCTCTACAGATGGGAAATAGTATTTTACAACTTTGCATTTTTTGATAAGGGAATATCAAGTAAATCTTACACTGTTCAATAATTCAGCTTTTTCCTTGCTTCCTTCCTTCCTTCCTTGCTTCCTTCCTTCCTTGCTTGCTTGCTTGCTTCCTTCCTTCCTTCCTTCTTCCCTTCCTCTTTCCTCCCTTCCTCCCTACCTCCCTTCCCCTTCCCCTTTCCCTACTCCTTCCCCTTCCCCTTCTCCTTCTTCCTCTTCCCTCCCCTGTCTCCTCCCTCCCCTCCTCTCTCCTTTTCTCTCTTCTTCTTTCTCCAGTCCTGGAACTTGAACCCAGGGCCTTGGTGTTTTGTTCAAGGATGGTGCTGTAATTCTTGAGCCACACCTCTATGTCTAGCTATTTGCTGGTTAATGGGAGATAAAAGTCTCATAGACTTTCCTGCCCAAGCTGGCTTTGAACTGCAATCCTCTGATCTCAGCCTTCTGAGTGGCTACAATTATGGGCATGGACCACTGGTGCTCAGCTAGTAATTTACCTTGAAGTCCTTAATATGTCTGTTTGGGATCAGCCTTTTAAATCTCGAAAAAATGCTGTAATAAAAGATATGAGGAGAAATTATTTGTTTTAAAGATGTTGGAGAAAGTAGATTCATGATAATGAAAGGAGTGACTGATCAAGATGTATTTATAAACTTCTGTATTAAATGTCAACTCCTTTGCACGACTACTTAAAGATAATAAAAAATAAAACTGAGAAAGATAAAAAAGAATTGTTGTGTTTTGGAAAGTTAAAAAAGACTTGGCCTCCTCTCTATTGCCTTTGCAATGTGGAGAAATATGGTATTCCATGTATATTTTGAAACTACTTCTTGTTGGGGTTGCAAGCTTTTATTTTTTGCTTCCATTGGATTAGATTTGTGCCTGATGGTGTGTTGACTTCAGTGTATGCTCTTTTATTTCTTGAGTTAAAATCTTCCAGAAATTGGCGATGAGACTGTTCTTTCTTGTTTCCTGTAGTAAGTGACTTGGTAGATTAAAAAAAATCATTTCCTGCTTTGAGGTGGGATTGACTTGTAGATAGTTGCTGTTATTTGGGGGTATGAGGTTCTAAGACCATTGAAAATGAATCCAACTAGGTGTTGGTGGCTCATAACTGTAATCCTAGCTACCCAGGATGCTGAGATCTGAGGATCATGGTTCAAAGCCAGCCATGGCAGGAAAGTCCATGAGACTCTTAACTCCAATTAACCACCAGAAAACTGGAAATGGTGCTATGGCTCAAGTGGTAGAGCGCTACCCTTGAGCTGAAGAGCTGAGGGAAAGCACCCAAGCCCAGAGTTCAAGCTCCACAACCGAGAAAAAGAAAAGAAAAGGAAAAAAAGAAAATGAATTCACTTGAATAGATAAACAAGTTTCATTAAGCAGTAGCGGGAGACAGTTTGGAAATTTGTCTTGGTAAAATGAATATTTACACTAGTAGTTTCTTTTATCTCATATGCAACAGAATTAAGGTTATAATTTTACCTAACAATTTGAACCTCAAAGAGTGAATCAAATGCTAAGTTTTGGTGATATGATAGATATTATGTGACAAGATTGCATGGTGATACTATGATATTAATCATTTCATGTTTGCTCTCCTAGTATTTCAAAAGGCTTTAAAATAACTGCTTCATCGAATTCCTCAGGAGACGCCTGTGATATTGAAATGATTCTCTTTTGAAATACCCATCTGTCATCATTCTTGTCAGTTTTCATCTCTTCCACTGTGAATGGGTCTAGTCTGTTAGATCTTTGTCTGTCAATGTATTACACAGGAGTGGGGAATTTTCTGAACTTTGTGTTATCTTTCATCTTTCCAAGATGGTAGTTTCTCTTTGCAATTTGAGTTTTTCTGATGGATTTGCAATATCAGGTTGGCAATATAACCAAGCTAGACCCTTGGGTTAAACAGAAATGACTAATAATGGAGTCTAATTCTTATGGTAGTTAATTAACATAGTTTCATGTTATAATGAGGTCAACCTGGTAGATATTTATACCCGGAGAAAGGTTTTAGCACATTGTCTGACATATTTTAGAAATGGTTAAAACCTACTTTTATATTCATCTTACTAAAGTTTTATTGTACATGCTCTGTAATGGCAAAAATATACTAAAGATTAAATATTTAGAATTAAAAATTAGCACTGATTTCTGAAACAGACCAAATCTTAACCAGGAAAAGGAGCATGAAGATTTAAAGAAATATTCAGTGGTGATGAAATATACAGTAGATATATTTCAGAGAAAGGGTTCACATGGCAAACTGTTCTTGGACAGGGTAAAGGAAATCTGCCTAGGAGCTTTGGTAAATACAGATTCAGTTTTAAGATAAAGCTCCTGTCATTGTTAGTTCCATTTTTATGTTTTCATTGTATTCTGACCTTTTACTATGATAGGAATGTTATTAATCATGAGTAAATAGTAAGAAATCATTACCACTAGAATTAAGACTTCATATTTCATCATCATCTTTATTTAATGAACACAAGACTGAATACTGAATATTCAAATTGTATAAATGTTTCTCATCTATATATAGAATCAGAATGAAACGAAATGAAAATGGAAGTGTCTGAAACTGGAAATGTGTTTGTAATACAAACACATGTTATAATACAAATTATGTTAACATAATAACATTCTTTAATGAATTTTCCTTTTAAACATTTGTTGAAGTAGCTAAGAAGCTACTTGTAGAAATTTCTAGTCATTTTTTAATTTAAATTTTATAATGACCACATAACTATATTAGTGACTATTACAGAAATACAAAATTTTAAATTATTGTTCTTTATTTTAGTGCCAAACACATGATATCACAATCATTGATCTAAACAAGAATCAAAAATTTACCTCCAGATTAAAAGAAGTCAGACATTTGAAACTGAAATTTTCTTGCAAGGAACAGTTACAGATCTCAACAAAAAACTTCTTTTTAATGTATTAGTTATGATAAGTTAGGTCGTGGAAACAGATTATAACAACCAAAAACGGACATGCATTGCACATGCAAGAGTCTAGTGCATGTATCCTGAATTGTGTACAGTGATGTTCTGTGGAGGGATTTCATTCCTTTTTGATTGTGGACCTAGGCCCCTTCCCATTTGTGCCTCTTACCTTTTTTCTGTCATTAATTGTGTGATCTTAGGGGGCACTCAGTAAGGGTTTATTTCAACAATAGGTAGGTACATCTGTGTCTTTCTGTAATTGATAGAAGACTCTTTTTCCAAGCTTCTTGCTAAATTGATCCATACTAACATTTTAGATAAGTTCAAAATGCTCTTTTCCCCATACTGGGCCAAAGAAAGAACAAAGGAAAATATGGATATTAATGTAATGAATTAGCTTAAAATGATCTGGTTTTAAAATAAAATAGGTAATGATATTGTATTCTTACATATGCATGTGTTCATAAATACTCAAAACATAGACACAAAGTATCTATGGATCCTGACCAGGAGCCTAGAAAACAAAGGAGACTTCATTCAGAGTTATATTTAGATCTACATTCATACGTGTACTCTTTGAACTTAATCTATACATATATTGCTTTTTAATTTTAACTACTTTTTGTGCCAGTCATGGGGATTCACTCAGGGCCTGGGCTTTGTCTCTTAGCTTTATGGTCAAGGCTGATGCTCTGCCATGTGAGCCACAGTCACTTCCTATATAGATTTTTTTATTTTATTTTATTTTTTACTTTTTTTTTTGGGTCCGGTCGTGGGGCTTGAACCCTGGGCCTGGGCGATGTCTCTCAGCTCTTCAGCTCAAGGCTAGCGCTCTACGACTTGAGCCACAGCGCCACTTCTGGCTTTTTTCTTTTTGCTTATGTGGTGCTGAGGAACCGAACCCAGGGCCTCAGGCATGCAAGGCAAGCGCTCTACCACTGAGCCACTTTCCCAGCCCCCTATATAGATTTTTTTTAAAGTATATTCTTAAAATAAAAAATGTAATAATTTTTAAAACAATCCTACTTCTAAGTAGACGTATAATTACATAGAAAAATTTTACTCAGGGCTGCCAGTATGACTTAATGTTAGAACATTCCTGACTAGCATTCCTGAAGCTTTGGGTTTGATCACAAATTGAATCAAATAATCAGGCATTACCTTTTTCTCTTTTCCTGACTTAGGGCTCCAACATTACTGACACCTGCACTGAAATGCTGATGTGTGGAGTCCTACTGAAAATCTCTTCTGGAAATATTCAAGAACGAGTGTTTTTTCTTTTCGATAACCTTTTGGTGTACTGCAAAAGAAAGCACAGGTAAGATCATCAGCAGGCCACACTTCAGAAATGCCTTTCATTTGTTTCATGGGGTTCCCCATTTGCCTCTGAGCCCCCCAGAGCTTAGCACCTTACCAGCCCATGCGGGCCTATCACCAGCTTGCTGGCCCTGATTGAATGTCACTACCATCTCAAGATACTACCTCTCACAGCCTTCCTGAGGAGAGGCGTTTGTTCCTAACCCCAGTGCTTTAGTAGGAGATGCTGTCATGTCTGTTTGCCCTGTTTCCTGATTCTCCTTATAAACCATTTCCTTCTTTTCCTTTGAGAATCCTGTCACATGAAAGTTCAGACATTAGCCTTTCCTGTTCTCTGACTTCCCTGGGGACTCCATTTGTACAGAGCAAAGCATCTCCCTGCTCTACACGGGTTCAGGGATTGGTTAAGTTCTTTGACCACTTTATTTGCGTCCTACTGTAGTTACTGTTTTAGAACTGTTGAAAATTCACATAAATGATCTAGCTAGAATTTGGGGCCTGAAAGCCCACAGTCTCTTTACCTGCAATGATCCTTACCCTGATTACACCTGAGCCACCTGTCCTATGGTTGTACCTATAGTTTGTTAACTCCATTAGAATGTGTTTTTGAAGCATGCCAACCCAAATACCACTCTCATCCTCCCAGCTCTCTTTTCCTGGTATCCCACTGAAGTTATTTTTTGATTCAATAGCTGTGCTCTGAGTATCATCTAATATCTCTTGTAAAAGGAAAAGGATGGTCTTAAGGTTTTGCTTGTTTCCATAGTGGCATTTAACTTAATTGAATATCCGTGTGTGGGGGTGGTGGTGGTGGTGGTGGTATGTGTGTGTGTGTGTGTGTGTGTGTGTGTGTGTGTCCATGTGTGTCCTTGTGCTTGAGCTCAGTGGCTGGGTGCTGTTCATGAGCTTTTGTGCTTAAGCATCACACTCTTTTATTTAAGCCACAACTCCAATTCTGGCTTTTTAGTGCCTAATTGGAAATAAGCGTCTTGTAGACTTTCCTGTCCAAGCTGGCTTCAAATCACAGTTCTTAGAACTCAGCTTCCTGAGTTGCTATGATTATAGTCTCGAGAGATAGGTGCTTGGCTTACTTGAATATTCTTAAGACATGATCTACACCTGGAATATAATGGTTTTCATGCAATGCTACCAATAGACTTCATGCAACTGAGGGCACATGACTAGTGGGTTTTGAGTGATTGTGTATGCTATGTTCAGAAGTCAGGAAACTGTGTCCAAACATTTTCTGGTAGATTGAGAATGCAACACCAGCTGAATTCATGGTGGACATAGTATATGCAAAGGTTTAAAATATTCAGCATTACTTTAAAAATAAAGAAGACCTTTCAAAAGGATTTATACATGTGTTAAGAGGCTTGTTCAACAAGCAAACAGTAATTATATTATAAAAACAGTATAGAAAAAGATTTTTACAGCTGGATATCTCTCAGCTTAAGAACCTCTAGTACAGTCTCTTTCTTTGAAGAAGGCTCTGAAAAACTAATTGAGTTTGTTTATCAGAGCTTGAAAAAAATATGGAATTACCAGCTACTGAAAAATGAGAAAGGAAGGTAACAGAAACCAGTTCATCATTGAAGTAACCAGGCTTTAGAGTCTGCTAGTTTGACAATATTGGTATGTTGAGGAAAACTCTATAACTATTTTCTCACCTGAATATAATGGATTTTAAAAATTAGTTTATGTTTACAAGGTGGGTGTCATTGAGATATCTTTACACTTTTATACAATGTCTTTCATCAAACCCAACTCCTCTATCACTCTATTTTACCCCACTGACCCCTTTTAAAACAATTTGGACAGGTGTCATTGTCCTATTACTCTTTTATGTTTTAACAATTACCTTTAAGTAGGTGTACAAAAGGGTTTTGATTCAAGCTGTCAGTTTGTGAGTACAATGCATTTTGATCAATGTCATCCCTTTCACCTTTCTCCCCATCTCTCCCAACCCTAACCATCCCCTCAATTTCCATTTCCATTTTCATACATGTACACAGAATCTTATGTCCATATTCACCAACCCTTTCTCTTTATTTATTTTCCACCTCCCTTTGACCTAACTTCCCCACAACACATATTTTCCAGCTTCCTGGGTTCATTATTTTAAACTGGAAGTTTGTTGTTCAAAGGCATTAGAACATTAGAATCCTTCCCAGCATTTATTAGACACAGTTGCTTTTTTTTAGAAACTCTTTGTCCTTTCCCTTTCCCTCTTTTCTTCTCTCCCTAAGCAGTTCCATCATTAGAATCACCCCCTCCACACACACATATTTCTATAGGTGTAATATCTAAGCACATCTCCATGAATATGTGTGGTTTATAGCTTCCACACATAACTGAAAACATATAATATGTAGGTTTGGGGGAGCTTTTTTGTTAATCTTGGCTTATCTTGTTCAGGATAATGTTCTCCAATTCCATCCATTTTCCTGAAAATGGCATGATTTCATTATTCTTTATGGTTGTATACTATTCAATGGTATATATGTACCATAGGTTCTCTATCCATTTATCTGTTGTTGTGGGGCCTGAACTATGGGCCTGGGCAGTGCCCCTCAGCTCTTCAGATCAAGTGCTCTACCACTTGAGCCACAGCACCACTTCCAGCTTTTTCTGCTTATGTGGTGCTGAGGAATCGAACTCAGGGCTTCATGCATGCTAGGCAAGCACTCTACCACTGAGCTACCTGCCCAGCCCCTTGATGTATATATTTAAGACAGTGCTTAAGTTAAAAAAATCCTAGTGTTGCAGTTATATCCTGCACATTAACTGGTACTGTTATGAATGAGATGACTCAAGGAAAATCATCAAGCTCCAAAATCTTTTGATAATGTTGATTGAATTCATGCTATTATTTTTAAAATAATGTCTTAAAGTATATTTTGCATTATTTTATATTAAACTTACTAACAAAGTCTTTGTGGTTCCATTCACTTTAAGACGGTTGAAGAACAGTAAAACATCCACAGATGGACATAGGTACCTTTTTCGTGGCCGAATCAATACTGAAGTGATGGAAGTGGAGAATGTGGATGATGGCACAGGTAAGTGATTCCTGGGTTTAGATTGCCAGAGCTGGGCGTTATCAGCTTAGCTTCTTGGGAGCCTGGAAATAGGATCCAGGATCCAGGCCAGTTTTTGTAGAAAAAGCCTGAGTCCCCTTCTTTAACCCATGGTTGGGAGCACTATTGATTGCAGCCTTTCATTGTAGTTTGGTGGGAGGCTGAGATTTCCACAGAGGGCAGCTAGGTGAAGCCTGTAAGACCGGAAGCCTGAAAGTAAGAAGATTGTGCCTCAGGGACATGCCCTGGCTACAAGCAAAACTTTATTTTAAAAATAACCAGTTGCCAAGGAGCTGGAGGCCCAACTCCATAGTGTTTTCCTAGCCAAGCAAGTAGGAGGCCTTGAGTTCAAGCCCTAGAACTATCTCCTCCCTCCCTAAAGAGAATGCCTGTAGTAAAATCTGTTGTGAGACAGAATTATCACTTGGATAGAATTAGAGCCTAGGAGTATTTTCTAAGTAGAGGAAGGGCATACATCTCCATGTATGCACGTATCATCTCCACCTAAATCCATCCAATTCCATATATGTATGTAGTCTACCTGTTCTTTCTTGGTTAACTTACTTTTCCCTTCACTACTTTAAGGTCATCATCATCTTTATTGATCTGTATTTCCCTGATGGCTAAAGTTGTACAGTACTTTTTCTTATATATGAACATTTATAATTCTTTTTTTATTGTGAAAATACCATACAGGGGGGTTACAATTACATGGGCAAGATAATGAGTACATTTCTTATCAAGCTTGTTGCCTCCTCCTTCATTTCCCTTTCCCATCCCTTCCCTTCCCCACCCCCTCCACCCCTCCCAAAGTTGTAAAGTTCGTTTTTCGACATAACAATTTGTACATCTCATTGTTGCAATGGGTCCACCTGTATCCCTATTTAAATGATTTGCTTTTTCCCTTCCCCTCCACAAATCATACCAACATCAATTCTTCATTTGAGAAGTTCATTTGTCCATTTTTTGTGCTCATTTGTGGTGTCATTTATTGACTGAATCAAACCTTTCCCTTCCTTTCCCTTCCCTTCCCTTCCCTTCCCTTCCCTTCCCTTCCCTTCCCTTCCCTTCTCTCCCTCTCCCTCTTCTACTGTTCTGTCTCATTACCTCCTCTCCCCCTCCTTCCTTTTTCTCTCCTTCCCTCTCTTCTTCTCTTTTCTTTTCTTCCCTTTTTTCACTTCTCTTCCTTGAGACATATTACTATATCCCCATACTGGCCTGGAGCTCATGATTTTCAGGACTCTACATTTCACTTGTGAGGATAACACTCCTGTACTGACATTTGTGATTTTTTTTCTTCTATTAACTTTTTGAGTTTTTTAAAAAAATATATTCTCTATGAGTCCACTGTCTAGGAACAGTTGGCAAAGGTTTTCTCCCATTCTGTTGGCTGTCTCTTTGCTTTGCTTTCCTGTCTCTTTTTCTTTGCTGAGCAGAAGCTTTTTAATTTAATGTAGTCCCATATATCAGTGCTTGCTTTTTTTTTTAATTTTATTTTATTTGTGAACATGCTGTACAGAGGAGTTACAATTACATGGGCAGGATAATGCATACATTTCTTACCAAGCATTGCAGCCTCCTCCTTTGTTTACCCTTCACATCCCTTCCCCGCCTCCCCCCTCCCCCCCAATCCCAATCCTTCTCCTTCCCCCCCCCTTCCCCCCCACCCCCGCACGTTGTAAAGCTCGTTTTGGACATGACAACTTGTACTTCTCATTGTTGCAACAGGTCCACCTGTATCTTTTGTATCCAGGCTACTAAAATCCTATTCTAGTGATTATGGCCTGCACCAATGCTTTGAAGTAGATTGTCCATGTTTCCTTCTAGTTTCAGGTGTTACATTAGATCTTCATTTCATTTGTTAATTGATTTTTATAAAACAAGATGATAGAGGTTTAGTTTCTGTCTTCTATGTGTGAATATCTAGTTTTCCCAGCTCCAGTTATTGAAAAGTCTTTCTTCTTTCCAAAATATGTTTTTGACACCTTTGTAGAGACTTACTTGGAAATAGATTAGTAGGTTTATTTGTAGTCTTCTATTCTATTCCATTAGTGTATGGTTTTTATGTTAGTCTTCATGCTGTTTTTGTTACTTTGGCTTTTCATTAATGGTTAATGGGAGATGAGAGTCTCACAGACTTTCTTTCCCTGGCTGACTTCAAACCATGATCGTCAGATCTCAGCTTGCTGAGTAGCTAGTATTACAGGCATATGCCACAAGCACTTGATGATTTCTTTTTTTTTTTCTTTTTTCTAATTTTTTTTTGAAAATGTGATGATGTTTTGATAGGGATTGTATTGACTTTATAGGTCACTTTTAGTAGCATGGCCATTTGAATAGCATTCATTCTCCCTGTTTATAACACATGAGAAGACTTTGCTTCAAGTATTTTTAGTTTGTTTCCTTCCTGTTTTTATTGCCATTGCAGAGGTCTTTAACATTCATGATTAGATTTTTTAATTAATTTTTTTAATGACGCATACTGGTTTGAACTCAGGGCATCAAGTGATAAAGCCACATCTCCAGCCCTTTTTTGCCTTGTTTTGTTCTCTAATAAGAACACATACATTTGCCTGGGCCAGCCTTAGACCAAGATCCTTACTCCTATTCCTTCCGTATAGTTATAGTTAGGATTATAGACATGCCTGGCCAGTTAGATTGATCCTATGGGTTTTTTTGAGGCTCTTGTTAATAAGATTAATTTCATTCTCAGACTTAGTTATTGATGAAAAGGACAGAAACTGATGTATGTTCGTTGATGTATGTATTCTGCTATTTTGCTAAATTTTCTAAATTCATTTTAGGATTTTCTGACTCATATCCTTTGTTAGATAGAGATAATTTGATGTCCTTCCATACTTGAATTTCTTTTTGTTTCTTGCCTTATTACTCTGGCTAAAAATTTTAAATACTGAATAAGAGTGAAAAGCAGACATTCTTGTCTCATTGTGATTATAGAGGAAATGCTTTCGAAGTTTTCCCATTTAGTTTGCTGTGGGTTCTTCCTAGATAGCCCTTATGCTCCTTCTATGCCAACTTTCTTTAGGGCTTTGAGCATGAAGGGATGCTGAACATTTTGCAAAGGTTTTTCTGTATCTATTGAGATGATTATGTGATTTTTTTTATCCTGGAATATGGTTCTGTACTATGTTATATTTATTGATTTGCATATGCTTAGCCTTCCTTATAGACCTGAACTGAAACCAATTTGACCACAGTCATAATTTTTTACTGCCTTGTTGAATCTGATTTTGAGTATTCTATTGAAAAATGTTGTTTTAGAATCAGAGTAATATTGGCCATGTAGAACGAGTGTGGAAGCATTCTGTGCTTTCTATTGAAAAGATAGTTTATGGTTGCGCGTGCTTGTGTGTGTGTGTGTGTGTGTGTGTGTGTGTGTGTGTGTGTGTGTTAAGTCCAATGTCTTTGCTGGTTAATTAGAGATAGAATCTCTTGGACTTTCCTGCCCAGGCTAGCTTTGAATACTGTTCCTGAGGTCTCTCCTCCTGAGTAGTTAGGACTACAGGCATAATGCACTGACACTCAGCTTTTAATATATGTTTTGAAATAAATAAGAAGCAGTTCTGAACTTTGAAGAACATGTGTACATGGTATACATACTTTACAAGGTAATAAAGTACGTATACTACATATTTATGCCTATTATCTGTATATACATATGTATATATGTTTATGTATGTATCCAAATAGATACACATAAACATATTTATGTACATATATTTCTAATTACATAGATTTTTTTTGGTTGGTCATGGGGCTTGAAACTCTGGACTTGGGCACTGTCCCTCACCTCTTCAGCTCAATGAGAGCACTCTATCGCTTGAGCCAAAGCACCACTTCTGGTTTTCTAGTGGTTTATTGGAGATAAGAGTCTCAAGGACTTTCCTGCCTGGGCTGGCTTTGAACCATGATCCTCAAATCTCAGCCTCCTGAGTAGCTAGGATTATAGTGTGAGCCACCAGCACCCGGCTTTTATATGGATTTTTTTTTTTTTTTGGATACAGGGTACTATGCGGACTAAGTTGGCTTAGAATTGTGATCTTCCTGTCTTATCAGGAGTGCTGGATTACAGGCCCATCCCATTGTACCCAGTTTATTTATGAGTTTACAATAGACATGAGAAAACTATCATGCAAACTTTTTATTTTTATTTTTATTTTTTTGTTGGTCTTGGGCTTGAACTCTGGGCTTGGGCGTTGTCCCTGCGCTCTTCAGCTCAAGGTGAGCGCTCTACTGCTTAAGCCACAGCACCACTTCCGGTTTTCTAGTGGTTTATTGGAGATAAGAGTCTCACGGACTTTCCTGCCCGGGCTGGCTTTGAACCATGATCCTCAGATCTCAGCCTCCTGAGTAGCTAGGATTACAGGCATGAGCCACTGGCACCCGGCTCATGCAAACTTTTTAAAAACAACTTATTTCTTCACTTAAAATTCTGTAACACATGAGGAAGATGTCTTTTCAAACAAAGACATTTTTCTTTTCCTTTTCTTCAGACTAACCTGCAATTTGGATGTGTACCTCAATATTTAATAAAGTAACTTTTATTTAGTATTTTTTATTGTTATAAAGGTGATATACAGAGCAATTACTATTTCATAAGTCAGGTAATGCATATATTCCTTTTTGGACAATGTCACCTCTTCCTTCATGCTCTCCCAGATTTTCCCTCCCAGTCTTGCTGACAAGTTGTATAGTTTATTTCCAACATAGTGTCTACTGAGTATAGCAATTTCTGTCAAGCCTTTAACCTAGGTGCTTAAAGGGCTTTGCAAGTATTGTTTCATAAATCTTTACCCACAAATATTTTATTGCCTAAGATAGGAAAAATAAAGACATAAAGTTGTTTGAAACAATTTTGTGACAGAAGCTGTTCTTTTCCCCACAAGTAGTATAGGAGTGAATATTTCACCTGTTATTTGTGATAGTACATGTAAGAGCCAGCTAATGATCTCAATTTCTGTACGCTGCAGATAGAGTCACCACAGTCAATTATATGCTCCCATGTCTTTTTGGAATTTAGCTGTATGCATACTAGAGGAAGTTTGAATGCACAGACTGGAGTGATCAGACAGGGTTTCATAGAAGAAGTGGGTGCACTCTGAATACAGCAGAGAGGCAAATAGGCTTCCTTCATGGGATTCTAGCTCTGAGGAGTATATTTGTAGTTACCGGTGCAAAAAGGAGAGCAGCAGGACGGGGTAGCTCACATTAGTAGGCAGTGGAACGTTGCATCAGTTAGATTGGGTACAGATTAGAAAATAAATGTTTATCAAATTCATTGGTGAGACACCCAGACATTTTTGAGTAGAGACTTGATAGAAAGTAACTGAAGGACAAGTTAACAGGGTGTGAAGAAGACAAAGTCTAACGACAGTAATGAAGGAAGGGCGTTCTAACGATGGCTGGCCCAGAGCACATGCCAGTGTAATGTCCTTGTCTTGCTGGGTTTGGTACGTGAATTTGTGTTTCCCTGTATCCTGTGGGATGAATTAGCAGTGCTCATTTCTAGCAAACTCAGTGTTGCTAATTACACAAGCTGCATGTAGTTATTGTGGCTTTCTTTTTTTAATCAGTTGTGCAAGCTTTACTTAACTACCCATAGGCTCTGGTCTTTTCACATGACAAGTTGGGCCAAAGAGTTGAGACAATGTATAGTCTAGAACTTAAATTTTTTCCCACCAGTTTATCAAGCTTTCTGTTTTTGCATAGCTCTTAAGGAGAGTCTGGAGGATAATTTTGAAGGAATATTTATTTCCCCACTAATGCTTGTTCATGCTTGATATGACGTGAATGATAAGATTGGGTTAATTTGTATAGATTATGGACATGAATTAAACATAGAATGATAACAAAAGAACAAAAATTCCTTCAAGATGGCTTGTAATTTCTTTACAAGGGGAAAATCCTCTGCCTATATGAATCTCTATATGGGAAGTTGTAACTGATAATTCATGGGCTTAAGGCACATATAGGAAATGCAGATTAACATCGTAATACAATCTGATTCAGACTCAAAAAGCCCACAACTGCGCAGCATCCCTGTCTTTGGGGGACTCACAGTCCAAAGACAGATAACATGTAATGTTTGGCACTAATACAAAAGACCATGAAACCAGACTTCGGGGAAATGAATGCCAAGAATATCTGTTTTCACTGAAAACTTACTAGATAAAACAGATCATTGAGAGGCCCAGCACCAAGCCAGGAAAGTGCCAGGAAGTTCTTGGCAAAACCACTGTTAGCAGTGGGGCTTAGCTCTCCTGTCCTGGCTATTGGCACTTAATGGCTTTCAGAGGAGACAAAGGAAAAGTGTCATTGCACTTGGGGTCAATGCTGATTCAGGCCTTTGTTTTCCCCCCTTTCTACCTTGACCTCTGTGGTTGGCAGGGAAGGTTGTGCCAGTTAATGTTCTTTCTAAGTGGCATAATGATTTTCTTCCTGCTGTTGGGAAGAGTTGGTGGAGAGTATCTTCTGGTGACATCTCTCACCCATTATAACAATTTAGACACAATTAGGAGAAGATTTTGAAAAAGACTATTAAATGTCAATTTATCCTCAGAGAACATCATTTTGTGAATTGTTATTCATTTGGATTGTATCACACTGTGTGGTTTTAAAGACTACATTTCAACCAGGGCAGGGGTAATGTTTCTTCATTGATGTGCTTCCATTTATTATAGCCTCGGTGTTCCATGGGGGGTGTGTTCTGCTGATTTATCCTATTCTTATTGTTCTTGATATTTAATACTGAAGAATTGTTCTGTGGGTATTGATCGTCTCAAAATGTGGAGTATTATTTGCAGAGAATATTACAAAGACAAAATGAATTTAGTACATGTGTGTTTGAGTATTAAGGAAAAACCTCTTTTTGCTTTAGAAACATGAGAGCAGTATTGTCATATATAGAGCAAGTAAATATTTTTGTGGTGTTTAATTGCATTGTAATATATTAATGTTGTGTGTTACAAAGGTTTCATTATTTTTTTTTTTTTTGGTCTGGTTGTGGGGCCTGAACTCTGGGCCTGGGCGCTGTCCCTCAGCTCTTCAGCTCAAGGCTAGCGTTCTACCACTTGAGCCACAGCGCCATTTCGGTTTTTTTCTTTCTGTTTATGTGGTGCTGAGGAATCGAACCCAGGGCCTCAGGCATGCAAGGCAAGCGCTCTACCACTGAGCCACCTTCCCAGCCCCAAAGGTTTCATTATTAAACAGTAGCTGCATCTGACACATACAAACATTTATATACGTTTATATGAACATATACACATATATACACACATATATGCACGTGTATGTGCATGTGTTTGAACTTGGCCTAATTATCTCACTTGACATTTTTTTTTCTCTCACAGCTGGCTCTCTACCATTTGAGCCACATTTTCAGTTTTGTAGTTTGCTGGATAATTGAAGTTGTAGTCTCAGAGACTTTTCTGTCAAATCTGGCTCTGAACTTCCATCCTGTGATTTTTTTCGTTCCAGTATCTTAAGGAAAATTGCTGGCAGGAGCCATGGGCACTATGTGTGTGTGTGTGTGTGTGTGTGTGTACATATAGCCATATATATATGCATGCATGCATACACATATATGTATATATACTTATATAGTTATATATAATTTACCTTCATTTTAACTATATGTATAATTAAATTAACATAATAAAGTTGGTTACATTATTTTGCTTTTTTTTTTGTAACTGTTGGTTTTGGGTCTTGAACTCTGGGTCTGGGCGCTGTCCCTCAGCTTTTCAGTTCAAGGCTAGTGCTCTGCCACTTGCGCCACAGCACCACTTCTGGTTTTCTGATCGTTAATTGGAGATAAGAGTCTCACAGACTTTCTTGCTTGTGCTGGCTTTGAACGGAGATTCTCAGATCTCAGCCTCCTGATTAGCTAGGATTACAGGCGTGAGTCACTGGCACCTGACAGTTAAATTATTTTGAAGAATTCAGTGGCTATAGAGCTTTCGTGAACTTAATTATGTTGATGCAATATTATATATCACATTTTAATCATTGACTTCCTCTGTGACTTTTCAGCTGACTTTCACAGTAGTGGGCACATTGTTGTTAATGGATGGAAGATACATAACACAGCAAAAAATAAATGGTTTGTTTGCATGGCAAAGACACCTGAAGAAAAGCACGAATGGTTGGAAGCCATTTTGAAAGAAAGAGAGCGACGAAAAGGTGGGTGTATGCGCTGGGAACCATTCATTCTTTCTAGAATTTTAAGTTGGCTTGAGAACAGATAATAGAAATAAATTAGGAAAAATGGTTTAATGGTTAGTGCTCACCTTTATTTACTGTGTCAGATGAGCTACAAACTAGTGTATACTTTAACAGTCACATTCAAGTTGGTATAGGAAAATCTTGAGTTGTTTAATGTAATTATACTATGGCTCATGATGTCTTTTGGTTTAATTTTACTTTACAATTTTTTCAGCTTTTCTTTTCTTTTTTTTACATCATTTTCCTACCTTTCAAGTCTTTCTTTAATACTTTATCAGTCTACCTTTAAAAGACAGACTTCAATACTTCTTAGACCAAATAAGCTTAGCTTCCTAATTAGGATTAGCATTTTGTGTGTATGTGTTTTATATAGATTATATGTGTATATATGTTACTTATATGTCTGTAATCTACATATATGTTACATGTAAACAATAGATGTTCAGGTAAACTTTAAATATTATTAGATTGTTATCGACTATAAGGCAATGTAACCAATAAGCAACTTGTTCATATAGGAGTCTTAGTTGAGATTTGATTTTATGAAAGTTTTCAAAATGTCTTTGGTATGGCAGCTCACAGACTTTATATGCAAAAAGACTCTCATAATTTAGCTCAAAAATAGAAATGCTTGCATTTATTTCCCTCCCTCCCTCCCTTCCTTCCTTCTTTATTTCCTTCCTTCCTTTCTTTCCTTCTTTCTGGCCATTCTTCCCTTTTGGTAGTACTACAGTTTGCACTCATAGTCTCTCACTTTCTCGGTAGATGTTCTACTACTTGAGTGACTCCCCAGCCATTTTGCCATTTTGTGTTACTTATTGTTGGGTGAAGTCTCATGTTTTGGCCTAGCCTGGCTTCAGATTGTGATCCTCCTGTCTCTGCTTATCGAATAGCTGGTGTTACACTACATCTAATTAATCTAGTTTATTGATTATGATGGGGTCTTGCTAATGTTTTTCTCTGAGCTGACTGGGAACCTTATATTATCTCTCTTTGCCTCCGTAACTGGGATTATAGGCATGTGCTATCTAGCTTGGCTTATCGATTGACTCAAGTATCAAATCAAATAACATAAAAGGTGATTGACAGTCTGTCACCTCTACCAGAATGGCTATGTTCTATCCAAGACAAAAAATGTGGAAGAAAATAAAAGGGAATTCTACAAAACTCTTCGTGGTATTTCTTCAGGCTCTATTCTGTGGATTATTCACACTTAATGATAAATTTTCATTGGTCTTATGTTGTAGAATATATGAATTTGTAGCTTGGAAGCCTGACAAACAACTCAGTAATTTTTGAAACATTGTTTCTTAGTTCCACCCACTGATTGAGTATAGGAGTTCCAGGATTTCATCTTTGGCACTAACAACCTCTCACTGGCTCTTTGGTTGGTTAATCTAGTGACATTATATTAACTTCTACTGTCCTGCCAGTTTCCCAACTTTATGTTTAGCCTTTCCCTCCTTGCTTCTACTTCATACTCATATGCCACCCTACTCCCTGGACTCGGCTCAGTACTTTCAGTACTGATTCCTCTCCACTTGGAAGCCTTTGCTCAATAGGTACCCTCATCTCCACTCAGTTGTTCTCATCAAACACCGTTAGGCATACTGACTTTTCTTCTCCACACCTACATTACCCAGTTGCTGTGACCTGTCAATACCACCTCTTGTCTATTCCTCTCATTCTCCTCCTCACCCTGTAGCCCCTTCCTGCTTAGATGTTTGTAGTTTCATCCTAATGATCTTCCTCTTGTTAACTATCTGCTTTCAATGTTCTTCCCACACTGACCTCTGAGCTTAGCTCCCAAAGTAACCAAACCATTTCTTCTATAGTACCCTGTCTTTCCCTACCTGCTGAATAAAAAACAGTATCCAAGAAATGATGTCAATTGAAACTATCAGGACTCCAGCCTAACCTACCAGCACATCTGTCTTCTTGCTTACATCCAGGGCTGCCTCTACACTGCTTGACATTACTCTTGTGAACACTTCTGTCTTTCTCTAGAAATACCTTTTCATTCATGTGTGCTTTAATATGGCTGCCTGTGAAAGATCTCAACATTTTCAGGTACAGATGAGGTATCATCTGTATTTGCTTCTTCGGTTTCATGGTTTGCCCCCAGGCTGTTCCTAGGGCTACCCTGTCCAGTTATCCAGTCTCATCTGCTGCTCTTACTTGACTAGCTAACTCATGGACCTTTGGGGCAGCGTTGTGCAGTCTTCTGCCCCAGAGATCTTTCTTGATTCTCTCTTGATTACAGGATGAACTTGAAAATCAGGCCCGTCTTACCACATTGTCCACACAACTTCCAGCTTTCAGTAAATACTTATTTTATGAGCAAATCAGTGAGTTATGTGATGACTCTTTTCTTTTCTAATTTCCGATAGATTTAAAATTAGGAATGGAGCAAGACACCTGGGTGATGATCTCTGAACAGGGTGAGAAACTTTATAAAATGATGTGCAAACAAGGGAATCTGATCAAAGACAGAAAAAGGAAACTGACTACGTTCCCTAAATGTTTTCTTGGAAGGTAAGCTTTGTAGTTTGTCGGTATACATTTCATTTATATTCTCTCACATGTTAACTTTTCCTTTAATTGTTTTATTTCTCTTTACAAAAAAATTCTTTTAATATTTTTTCCTCAAATGTCTAACTTTAAACTTGTTCCCCTTACTTTCTTTCCTGGCATCACACCTCTAACCTTGCCTTAAAAAATTGCTGTTATTTGAAATTGCTGAAAATAGAGGGGTTACAGTTATATAAGTCAAGGCTACCACTTGAGCCACAGCTCCACTTCTGGCTTTTTGGTTGTTAATCAGAGATCAGAGTCTCATTGACTATCTTGCCTGAGCTGGCTCTGATCTAAGCCTCCTGAGTAGCCAGGATTATATGCATGAACCACCAGTGCTCAGCTCAACCCTTCTTTGTGATCATTATTGTGTTGATGGAATCTAGTGGACCTTTTTTCATGGGCTGACTTTCAACCACAATCCTCAGTGTCTATGCCTCCTAAGTAGTTAAGATTATAATCATGAGCCACTAGCACCCAACTAAAATAGTTCTGAATACTTCTTTATGGTTTACATGTTTTGGGCTATAGTGATAAAAGATAATGGACAGAGAACCAATGTCATAACAAAATAACTTTAGGCATTCAATCATTTATCCTGGGCTCCCAATTTTATGATATACCAGATCTAAGGATAAAACAGAGGTTGGGTCAAAGCAGGGGATGATAAGAAGGCCATTGTTCAGAGAGTGAAAGGATGGCGAGCCTGATACAGAGTGTATATATAGGTAAGTCTGAAAGTCAGAGTTAATAGTGGTCCCAGTAACCAGGGAATCCTAGAGGATTGAAGACATGCACTAGAAACTCCCAATTAACTCAGAATTTAGACAGTTGAGTTCAAGATGAAAGTGTAGGAATGTAGTCTGAGAAACTTAGTCATGGAAGGATCCAGGCACCATTGTCTACAGTACAACATGGTTCCAAGGAGATCACTTCTCTGGGAGACACAAAAATACCCAGGATATATCATATCCAGTACTATACTGCGGGTGCTTGATTCATTTTCCCCCATAATGCAACCTTCCTGTCTTTCACTAAAGACATTGTAAAATTAATAAATACAAAGATGTTCACTTATCAATTAGGTTAAGTATAATCCATGCCTTGATTTGCTTGGGAGGATTATTACAGATTTCACCATTTTCTTTTTTGGCAGCAGATAATCACAAAATTAAGGGCAGGGAAATATACAAGAGATCACAAGTTATTTAAATACAACTGATGATAACAGGGAACTGACTGCATCCTCTGAGCTGTATGATGTTTTGCTGGAATTTCAAATTTTTGCTTTCTAATATTTTTTTCACACACTTGATCAAAACCATGTGTAAAAATATCTGCAAGCAAGGCAGATATTTGTTGTATGTGTCATTTGGTTTTCACAGTGTTAAATGGTATTCCCTGTCTAGTTACGTCAGTACAGACCAGAGGGGAGGGTTTCCGCCTCTTGTTCTTCTTCTTTGCTAGGCTCTGTGTTGGATAGTTTCTGTAAGTAATTCCTAATGCTGTAATTCATAGGAGTTTCATACATTTACACTTTTTTAAGATGTAGAAATTTGATAAGGAACCTTAGCAGTTCACACAGTTAAGGGAATGCCAATAGAAATGCCATACAAATAGGCTAAAGTAGCAGTTCAATGTATAGATCTCAATCAGAATGTCTTAGTTCAAGTCCTGATGTCACCTCTGCCTAGTTTAGGGACTTGTGGGGGGTGGGGAAGGGATTTCTATTTCTTCTGGAAACACAGAGATGATTTCAGTGTGTACCTGCAATACCAATCAGGACGTCCTTTTAACTAGCAGTGAGGATATACAATATAAACATAGACTACATCTGCCTTCCATCCCCAACTTTGAAAAATAGAGGCCATGAAATTCCTGGCTGAAGGGCAGCATTGGCTCTCTTCTCCAGAGCAGGTGGTCACACAGCTGCCCAAGGCAACAGCTTAAGTCCCAGTGCTGTGCTCTGTCACAGTTCCCCAAGTGATAGCTTTTAGACAAAGAAAAGGACACATCCTGCTTGGCATAGAACTTGCGTGCATCAACAGGACAGGGTCTCCTGTAATAACTCCATGGGTTTTAACTGGCAAGGTTCTCAAAAGGAGATGCCCACTGGGCAAGAGTCTCTTTAAGTGATGTCTTCCCATCAGGATTTTATAGGCATGTAATATAGGGGTCATAGGCATGTGATATTATGGGTCATTTTTACTTTAGCAATACTGATAGCCTACTTTCTTCATGTGATCAAGTATTTTGGGAGTAACAAAGCTAGAGATTTGTCCCAGGTCAATGTGTACTTTTTTCAAGTGAAGGGTTTTGCCAACCCTTTATACTTACACAATCTCAGATGATTATCATGCTCATTAAGGATTTGTCTGATGCATAGGCTAGACCTGACCTACAAAATGTCAGCTGTGGCTTTCCCATAATAGCATTGTATAACTGCATCCTAGTTCATATTGGCGATTGAATCTGAGTGGATTATCATCATCCTTAGATATGTTGTTGGATTCTGCCTGTTCCTTGAGTAAGTCCCACAATAAATCCACTTGTCTGCTTCCTTTTTACTTCTTGTTCAAGTTGGGGAAAACAAGTCCTATCATTTATAGCTGTATTTAAACTTCTTATTTTCCTAATTCATATTTGTCATCCTCAGAAGTTTCATGACAAAATGGAAAAATCATGCTTTAGTTACATATCAGCCATCTCAACCCACATGTCAATCACGAACATTTAATGAGAGCTAATTGGTATGTCAGGTCTGTGCTGAGTTCCAGACATCTGGTTTCATCTTTTGATGGTACTGCGCCATATTACATTACCAATGAAAACATGCAGGTGTCAGAGAGATCATGAAGCCAATGGAAGGAAAAACAAGATTTGGCTCTGGGTTGTCTTACTGCAACGAATATCATCATAACACCATACTTCACTAGCTCATATCCTTACATTTTTATTTTTTTTATTCTCTTTTCATTCTTTCTGATATTCTTGGTCTTTCTTTTGGACAATTCTCATTTTAAAAAGTTAGAAGAAGGCCTTTTCCATTTTTTTCATGCGTTTATGTATATTTCTTAGCTTAGATGATCGAATTTTAGAGTTTTGCATCACTTGGTTATTTGACATTAGATTTTTACGTTGCTTTTGGTTTTGAAATAAATGGAAAAGTAACTTCCTGATACTGTTCATAGTGTTGATTCTTCTTGCCTCTAGGCAAAAACAACAAGGAAAACAAAAACAAAAATAAGAAGAGAGAAAGCCAGTCTGCAACAAATTTGTTAGTTAATGTAAAATTTTGAATGTTAGATTGTTTAATGTATGTACATTTAAAAAATGTATAATAGTATGTTTATTTGTAAATGGTCTCTGAGCTAAGTATTTTCCTCATAAAATCACATGATTATTGGCCTTGTTATAGGTAGTAGTCTCATAATTAAAACTACTCTAACATTTTCACTTTGGATTTATGAGAAGTCTCAACAAGTTGAATTGATTAGTTAAGTGTCATTTAGGAGAGTGTCAATATACAGGTGCGTATGGACTTCACAACAGAGTTTAGCTTCTTTGATTTGGGCCTTACATATGTGAAAAAATATCTTCTGGAATGCATTACAAAGATCTTTTTTTTTTTGTATTTTGAGGCTCCTTTTGTAGTTGCTTCATGAGTACATAGTACCTATAGAATTTCTGGGAAAAATTAATTATCTTTTTCATTGGCTTTATGTCACAGTGAATTTGTGTCATGGCTGTTGGAAATTGGAGAGATTCATAGGCCTGAAGAAGGTGTTCACTTGGGACAAGCATTATTAGAAAATGGAATCATCCACCATGGTAATTATTTAAGTAATTTATTTAATATCAGAATTCACAAATTTCCATATCTTACTTTCAATGACCAATGATTTGTTTATAATTATCCATATTATAGGACTCTTTTCAATCTTTTCTCTATCTAATATACATAGAATAGTGTTTGGGAGCTCAGAGGCTTAAAGTAAAGTTGTCCAACTTAAAGTGAGCAGCTGCAGCAACAGCAGGAGTTAAGATGGAGGTAAAGTGTTTTGGGACTGTGGAGGAGAGATAGGTCTCTCTAACTTGAAGGCAAGGCCATCAGTTCTGGGCATGGCAGAATGAACAGAAAGCTGACAGAGCAGGGGCCACAATGGTATTCTGTTAGGAGGTGATAGCACACAGGCACAACCTTGGGAATGTCCGTGATGGCCTCTTCAGGGACTATGGTGGACTCTTGTGTGGCTCTATGATACACACGGGAATCAGTGTTCCAGGAAGAGCCTGTGATGGGAAATGTGGCCTAACCCTTGATCATGGTATATCTGATCTGCTACACTGAGGTCTGTGACTTACTATCAGCCAATCAAACCTATACCTAGAGGCATGGTCAGAACTTTGTTCCAGGCTGGGCCCCATACTTAATGCCTGTAATCTTAGCTACTTAATCAATGACTATGTGAATAATTTTACTTGTACATATGTTTATAAACTGTGTTGGATTTATATTGATTTATTAGCACCATTCAAGCACCACAGAGATGCTTTTAGCATTGTTTATGATAGAAAGCATCATCTAAAATTTTAAAGTAGAGCAATAAATGATATTGAGCTAAATGGCTTTCTTTTCTTCTGCACCTCTTTCTTTCCCTTAACTGCAAGCCCAAAGATATATTTTAAAACAAAAATGGATTTTATTTAAAATTTTAATTGACAAATAATTATATATATTTATAAGGATCACTTTGATAATGCAATAAGTATATAATAATCAAATCAGTGTCATTAGTAATTCCATTAAAAACTTTATTGTTTCTTTGTGGTACATTGAAGCTTACATATGGTTCAAGTAGCATAGTTACTGCCAAGCAAGCAAGCAAAGCAAACAAATAAGATGAGAAAGAACAAGGCCCTGAGTATTAGCCCTATTATGTTAACCAGCTTCATGAACCTGTGTTTTATTTCATGATGAATGAGAGATCAGAAAGGGACCAGTGTTCAAGAGAGAGTGAGAGAAAGAGAGAGAGAGAGGAAAAAAAACCACATCTCTCACAGTGTTTGTTTCCTCCGTCAAAATTTAAACAAAGCAATTATAAGAATTCTGTGAATGAGAAACTTTCAGTCCAAATTAGTTTATTCTTCAAATTTCAAATCCAAGGATTCTTCAGATTACTTCAATTATGAAAATTAAAAACATTTTTGAACGGTGACATTTGCACCTTGATTCTTTTCTTAGAAATGTAGCACTGAATTATTTTCTTTTAATATTTTTCCATTTGTTGTCATTTGGTTGTATTGTAAACCCAAGATTTTACTGTTATCAGAATCTGATCAGTTGTAATATCATATTTGATATGCAGAATTTCACACGAGCAAGATTTTAAAAAGCCTCACTAGTCAGGTGCCAGTGGCTCATTCTTGTAACCCTAATTTTTCAAGAGCCTGAGATCTGAGGATCACTGTTCAAAGCTGTCCTGGGAAGGGAAGGGAAGTTTGTGAGACTCTTATCTCCAGGTAACCACCAAAAAATTGGAAGTGAACCTGTGGCTCAAGTGATAGAGCACCAGCTTTGAGCAAACAAGCTAAACAGTGCCCAGGCCCTGAATTTGAGCTCTATTTCTACCCTTCCCAAATGGAGGGTCAGAGACCATATTATGCAACTTCACAGTGAGAGAATAATTCTATTAGAATAAAGAATTAGAAGCCAAATGTGTTAGTTTCCAAATATGTGCTTCCAGCTGCATTCTAGTGAAAATAGAATTCCTAAAATAAAGTTGAATAAACCATCTGTTTGAAATAGCTCAATCAAGCAACAACAACAACAAAAAAGAGTTCCTGGTAGAGGCAACTCACTAATGGAATTTCTTGGGTGAAGAAGGCAAGCTTTCTTCATGACATGCTATTAATGTTAAAGTAGGGCAAGTGGGCTGTTAACAGCATCAATGCTCACATAAGAAGCCAGAGTTCTCATTCCTTGTATTCTGTAGTGTGCTGAAGTTGACTTGTATAAGCTCCAGAGAGCTACTAATTAAATTAAAAACTTTTTTCCAGCTGCTTGGTGATAAAGCACAATTAGCATTAAGACTGGAATGACATAACCATATGCATAAGCTAATACAATGGTGACATTGCCTAATAATTTCGCTGCATTTCACTATTCCCTGTGTTGTTGAAGTTATTTCAGTTACTTCTGGTTGGTGGAAATAGCGTCATGGTATGTCCTTGCACCATTATCTCCATGGCCAATAAGTTCAAGTAGATAGTTTGGAATTGGTTGGAGAGGAAGTACTTACATCACAGAAATTAGCCAATGCAACAAGTCAGAGTCCCTTCTCTCTCACATCCCTTTACCTCCCGCTATGGGTCTTGGTCCTGGTTCCTGTGCATCCCTCATTCAGAGGGATGAAAGATTGCTGTAAGCAACTTTTCTCAAGTGAACACTTGACCTCTGATTGGTTAGTAAATCCATTTTCCATACAAAAATACCTATTGAATTGTGGATTTGAATTCATCCCCATTTGCTAATTAACAAGGTAACAATTTAGATTTTTTTCATTGGCCCAATTAGTAATGATTAAACCCACAAGTTTGCTTGTCTTACAGTTTTTCGCTCTATTTTAAATAAGTCCAACTATCACTTGCTTTACTGTAGTAAGAGACAGTCGCTTGAATCTTGAAATATTGAGATGATAATTTATTTCACTACATATTAACAGATAAAAATGGGTATAGGCAGATTGCATAGAAGAAATATATTACTGACCTTGAAACCTTACAATTTCGAAATATGTCTCTTAATTTTATTTTTCTCTTATGCTTTTTTAGTTAGTGCTTGGCTTAGGATAAAAAGTTGCCACACAATATGTTGCCTATTTTTTATTTTCAACAATGTTGGCTCAATTTTATGGTCCTTTGACCATACAAAGTTTAAATTGTCTAGATAAATGAGCTAAAACTTGATATGTTCTGTGTGTTTGTGTGTGTGCTCATGTGCATAGGTGCATGTGTTTTCTAGCAAGTCTTTTGACATTCTTTTGGATTCATCAAATGTAGTTAATGGAACTAATTCTGACAACTTTTTATTTCCTTTTATGACATTTTTCCAAGATGAAATGTAAGCCAAAGTTTTCTACCTAACTTTGAAAGTAGCTTCTTGAAAGAAAATTTCTCATCTACACATGTTAGATTCCCTGGCAAAAAATAAAATTACAAATAAACTCTGAGCTTTATTTTAAAGTTTTTTTCTTTTTTCTTTCTAGAACAGTCCTTTTTTTATTATACTGTATAAAAATAATTTATCCCGGAGGAAAAAATACAGAAGATATTTTAATCAGAGTCTTCTCAGCCTAGTTATATTAAGAGATAATTGATAAAATCTATATGTATCTATGTTACTAACATGTTTTGATATGCATACAAATTGTCAAAAGATCACAACCTAGTGAACACATCCATCAGTATTGGTGTGTGTGTGTGTGTGTGTGTGTGTGTGTGTGTGTGCACTATGAGCATTTAAGTTCTACTCTCAGCAATTTTTCAAGTATACATTACATTTTACCACATTTTCTGTCTCTGGTTATCCTTACTGGACCCTCAGGAGCTTAAGTGTCTTGGCTATTGTGAGTAATGCTGCATTCCCAAATACACTGCAGCATACCTATTCTCTTTTTGCATACCTATTCTCTTTGTATAGATACATACATATCTATATCTATCTCCATCTTTATATGGAGATATATCTATATCTATATAGATATAGCTATAGCTATAAAAATGGAGATATATATGTGTGATAAAATATATTTCCATATATTATATATACACACATACATATATATATCCAGAGGTGAGGATGGCTGTATCATGTGATTGTTTGTTTTCTTAATGGTTTTTAGAAATCTTTCCATATCTCCATCAACACTTGATTTTTTTTTGATAATAGCTATCATAAGAGTTACTAGGAAGCTGGGCACTGGTGCTCACGCCTGTAATCTTAGCTACGCAGGAGGCTAAGATCTGAGGATTGCCGTTCAAAGCCAGCCCAGGCAGGAAGGTCTGTGAGACACTTATCTCCAATTAACCACCAGAAAAGGGAAGTGGTGCTGGGGCTCAAGTGGTCACCTTGAGCTAAAGAGCTGAGGGACAGCACCCAGGCCCATAGTTCAAGCCCCACAACAGACAAAAAAATAGTTACTAGGTTATCTTGCATTGTGGGGTTTTATTTGCATTTCCTTGTGGCTGTATTTACTTAGCCCCCTTCCATATGCCTGTCGGTACACTCCTCAATTTATTTTATTTTGGAAAAGTATCTACCTAGGTCCTTTGCTCAATTTTTGGTGTGTGTGTATTAATAGTACCTGGATTTGAATCCAGACCAGTAATTTCTAGGTAGGCACTCCATTGTGTGAGGCACACCTCCAGCCTTTTATGTGGTAAGGGCTCACCTTTTACCCAGTGGAGCCTGGACTATGATCTCCTATTTATGCTTTCTGTCATTACTAGGATGACAGGTACATGCTACCACACCCAGCCTTTTCTACTGAGATGGAGTCTCACCAACATCTTTGCCTCAAGCAAAATCTTCCCAATCTCAGCCTCCTGCATAGTCATAAACCATTGGCACCTGGCTGGTTTGTTCATATTTTTAATATTGAGTTGAATAAATTCCAAATATGCTTTAGATATTAGCTTCCTGTACTGTGCTAACTTGTATTCCTTATATATGCAATTTGTTGAGAATTTTTATTCAGGAGGAATATTGAATTTTGTTTCATGCCCTTTCTATATCTGTTGAGCTCTTTATAGGATGTTATCCTTCATGTGTTAATATAAAGCTCATATTTATTGGCTGTATTTAGTGTTGAGTCCTCTTGCTTTAAGGATAAATACCACTTATTATGATGTATGAATCTTCTGATATTTTGTTGAATTTGGATGATATTTTGTTGGAACAGTGTTGAGTATTTTTGTATCTGGGCTTATCAGGAATACTGGCCTGAAATTTTTATTTCTTTAATGTCCTCATCTGGCCTTGTAAAATAAGTTTAGGAATGTTCTGTTCAAGTTTTCAGAAGCGTTTGAAAAGGGTTTACGTTAATTGTTCTTTTGGTGCTTTCTAGAATTCACCTGTCAAACCAGCACATCCTAGGAATAGGAGTTTTAATAATCTGACAGTATTATCATCAGAATTTTAATGAAGCATGTCCATTCCTAGTTTTCACTGATTAAAGAATTCAAGTGATATGTAGGAAATGAATTTCTTAGTGTAAGAACTATAGCACAGTTCAAAATAGTTACATATTGAACTTATTTAATCTACCCTGGAGGTCCAAATGCGGTCAGGATTTGTATATGTGTGGTCTTGGCATAATGACTATGTGATAGAATAGATAAAGGTTAGGACTGAGAGTCAAATCACATTTATCATTAGTGTGAGTATCATATTTGCTCTTAGAAGGTTACTTCTACGTAGATTTACATAAATAGAAATATGCACTTTGCATATTTTATATGTAATTTGTAAGTTTAAACTACATTAACTTAAAATATACAAATATATTTTTTATCATATATCCATTGAGATATTATGCCACCTGGATATCAATAATATCAATTTCTCTCACAGATCATTACAAAGAAATTGTAAAGCCAACTGCGGTGGCTCATGTCCATAATCCTAGCTACTCAGGAGACAGAGATATGAAGATCATGGTTCAAAGCCAGCCCGGGAAGGGAAGTCCATGGGACTCCTATCTCCAATAAACTAGTCAAATGGTATATTGCTGGCCTTGAGCACAAAGAGATGCAGGGTCAGGGCCCAAGCTCTGAAAAAAAGGGAGGGGGGAAATTGTAAGAATACTGAATAAACCCTATGATTTTACTACAAAATTATTGGATTGCTGTTTTGAAAGCAGAAAAGGTCAAAAGCTATGTACACAGACCATATAAGATGATGCTAATGAACCCCAACATAGGGATACAAGTGGTTGGATCTTTCTTGCTATTGTTTTTAATGTATTTATAATGTGTGATGTGATTTTTTTGTATGTTCTTCCCCCATGATATAACCCCTACTGTTTTCACTGTATTTGATGTAGATGCCCTGCATCTTCTATATACATTTTTCTAATTTGGGGAGGTAATGGGAAATAACAAAATGCTGAAACAAGGAAACAGGTTAACCCATTGTAACAATGAGATGTACAGGACACTATGTTGAAAATGAATTTTACAACTTGAGGGGTGTAGGGGGGTGAGAGGGGTGGGGAGGGAAAGGATGGTAGGGGAAAAACAAAGGAAGAGGTAACAATGATCCATAGGAAATGGACTCATTTCCTTGCTCATGTAACTATAACCCCTCTGTACAGTATTTTTACATTTAAAAATATATGTAGAAAAATGTTATAAAAGTTTAAAAATTCTGGAATAGTATTTCATAGCTTCATTTTTACTGCCACTGTGTGGATCATTTGATGTGTTCATATTCTCCTATGTTCACAGTTACTGATAAACATCAGTTCAAGCCAGAGCAGATGTTGTATAGATTTCGCTATGATGATGGCACCTTTTACCCAAGGAATGAGATGCAGGATGTGATTTCAAAGGTAACATCCTCTCCCATTACCTCTTCTGTAGCAGAAGCATTGTTGTCTTGCTTGGAAAAAATCAAAAGCTCTTTGAGAGACTTAAGATAAAATGATTCTGAGGCACATATACCAGCATGCCTTTTGATTTCTTTTTGATATTTTAAAAATTGTAATGTTAGATTATTTTTTTGTTCTTAAAAGAAGTAATTCTGTTTCCTTTTTCAGAAGGTTTGTGTGTGTGTGTGTGTGTGTGTGTGTGTGTTTGTGTGTGTGCGTGTGTGTGAACTGTTTTGCTTGTAGCAACCTACGGTCAGTGAATAAATTTTAAATATGCAAATACAAAAATAGATGCAATGCAAATCTTTCCATTTTAAATTTCCATCTTAAATTTTATGTTATCTTGTAACATAATAGGCAAATTGCTATGTCTTTTGCTATGTGATGTCTTGAAATTTTGCATTTCAAGAAAAATAATTTTGCATTTTAAGAAAATAATGTAGAAGAACTTTGAAATATGTATGTGCACGACAAACTAAATGCACCACTTAATCTTATTTTGTAATGATTTATCACTACATTTGAATAATTGTTAAGTTAACTGAGATGGTGTTAACGATTCTAGGAAATTGACAGTAAATTTGCTTATTTCCAAATATCGTTGCCATTTTCCTTGAGTGATCTTACCTGCTTTTGATATGTTTTGTTTTTACACAGGGTGTAAGATTATATTGTCGTCTCCATAGTCTATTTACACCAGTGATAAGGTGAGTGATTTTTAAACTCTGGAAATCATAAATGAATATGTTTACATTGTTTGTTAGTACTTGGTTTATCTTATTTGTTTTCCCAAAGTGAAAATTTTACTTTCAAACACTACCTTAAATAAATAATCTTAAAATATCCCCAATTTTCTCTAAGATTCTAATTATGAAATATGGCCTATGCTTCTTTATTATACTTTCTAAAATTATTTTTAGAAATTATTTTGCACATGTAATTCTTTCTGATGGAGGCATAGAATTCCATTGTGTATATATACCACATTTTCTTGATCCATTCATCTACTGAGGGTCATCTGGGTTGCTTCCATATCTTAGCTATGGTAAATAATGCTGGAATAAACATAGTTGTACTGGTAGCTTTAGTATGGCCTTGTTTATGATCATTTGGGTAAATGCCCAAAAGTGGGATTGCTGGCTCATAGGGGAGCTCTATGTGGAGTCTTTTGAGGAACCTCCATACTACTTTCCAAAGTGGTTGAACAAGTTTACACTCCCACCAACAATGCAGTAAGGTTCCCTTCTGTCCACATCCCCTCCAGCATCTGTTGTTATTAGAGTTCTTGATTATAGCCATTCTACCTGGGGTTGGAAAAACTTATATTAAGTGAAGTAAGCCAGGCCCAAAGAAATATAGGTCTCATGGTTTCCCTTATTTGCAATAACTAGTATATGTCTGAGACAAGCAGAAAAGGTCAGATAAGTTGATTTTAGGGAAATGAAGCCTAAGATATGTATTTAAATGTTTTTTTCTTTCATGTGATTGTTTCTAACACATTTATATGATTATTTCTTTGTAGCTTTGTATGTCCCTCCCCCACGGTATAATCCCTGCTCTCACTATATTTGATGTTGGTATAATTTCTGGAGGGGAAGAGCAAAAACAAATCATTTAAGTAGGGATACAGTTGGACCCATTGCAACAATGAGATGTCCAAGTCGTTATGTGGAAAAACGAACTTTACAAGTTTGGGGTGGGTGGTCAGGGGAAATGGGGGGAGAGGATGGAAAGGGATGGGAAGGGGAAACAAAGGAGGAGGCGACAATGCTTGATAAGAAATGTACTCATTATCTTGCCCATGTAATTGTAACCCCTTAGTACGGTATTTTCACAATAAAAATTATTTTGCACAACACATTAAAGAGTTGAAAATGAAATAATCCACATTCAATTAATATTTAATAAATGATAGCTAACTGACTAGGAGAGGATTTGTAAGTACTGTTTTTTAACCATTTTGATTTCTTACTATTAACTTTTTAAAATTAAACTATAAAAAATCCAGGAATAATCAACTCCCAACCACAGGGTGACAGCAGTAGCTACTTTGAGCCCCTAAATTGAGGCAACAAAACGAAACTTACACAAAATGTGTTTCAAACACACAAAGTTGGGGGAATAGTTATTTATTGAGACAATATAGAATAAATTGTCATATATTATGCAAAGCTTGTTTCTATTTTATCCATATCCTCCAATGTGACACCATTCATAATAAATCACATTTCTGGTGCTTCTGTGATCAGTTATCTCATGGATTTCAAGTTCTGAATCATTACAAAGCAACTTACTGTTTGGAAAGCACAAATTTTGGTTCCTCTTTTCTTCATTTCTGTCATTGGCTCCATCTGGATGACACATGACATAATAGAGTGGAAGGAATCATCCTGGCAAACTAGTTCATTCAAAGAAAGTCATAAATACTAAAATTATTTATCATGTGCTGTTCTCATTTGCCCCCTTTTTCTTTTGATATTTTCAAATAAAATGATAATTTAGCTAAAAAAATAAAATGAAACTACATAATCACATATTTGGTAGGTACTTTATTTTATGGTATTTTGGCTAATAGGCTTTTTGTCAAGAAGAGTCTTTTGTACTTAAAAATTAAGAATTACTTTGGACTTAATAAATATAATTTTATTTTCAATTTAGCTTTTGCATTTTCATTTTCATAGATACAGACTTTTAAAAAAGATCAGTATTTTCTGTTTATATCTTTAGATAAACAATAGGAAATAGTGAGCTTTGTGTAATTATTAATAATAGAAGAACAATGTAATTTTTTGTACTTTTATGCTATGTATACATATCAATTAAGTATGAAATGTTAAGCTAATGTCATATGGCCAAATGTTATATGGATTTTATTGACTAACACATATTTCAGAATAGATACAGACTTTTCTATAAAAAGAATCAGTTTTTTCAGTTTATATCTTTAGAAAAACAATAAAAAATAGTGAGGTTTGTATAATTATTAACAGGATAATAGTGTACTTTTATACTATGTATATGTATCTATTAACTGATGGAATGTTAAGCTAATTTCATATGACCAGATGTTATATGGATTTTGTTGACTAACACATTTTTTTGGGGGGGGGAAACAAAGGAGGGGGTAACAATGCTGGATAGGAAATGTATTCATTACCTTACTTATGTAATTGTAGCCCCTTTGTACAGTATCATTACAATAAAAATTATATATTAAAAAACCATTCTAGTCAGTGTAACAAGGCCTCAAAGAAGAACTTATCTGAGGCTAACTGACTGAGAGAAGGAGAAATACCCAATTTCAGACCTAATAAGCTTTATGTCTCATCTCAGTAGGAAGGAGAAAATTAAAATTGCTTATGGGCTCTAGAATTAATATTGGGAAAATGGCTATACTATCAAAAACAATCCACAGACTCAATGCAAACCACACCAAAATCCCAGTGTTATTCTTCATCGAAATATAAACAATCCAAAAATTCATATGAAAGCATAAAGACCCTGAATAGCCAGAGTAGTCTAGGAAAAACAACAATGTTAGAGGGATCTTAATAACTGACTTGTAGTTATACTACAGAGCCATAGTCACAAATAGCCTCACACTGGCACAAAACAGAAATGTAGTTGAATGGAAGAAAACAGAAGATCCAGAAAAACAAAACACAGCAGAGTCATTTAGTTTTTTTTACAAAAGGGCCAAAAGCATGCATTGAAGAAAAGTCAGTTTCTTCAACAAATAGTTTAGAAGACTGGATACTCATATGTATGTGGTATGTGAAGTTCCATGACAAAGACTCTTTGAATAATTAACATGAAATTTAACAAAATGAGGGGTTGGGTACTAATTGGAGGGAGAGGACAAATGTATAGGGAGAAAGGGTGAATACAGTCAATATACATGTATGAAAATAGTAAAACAATGCTTGTTGAGATTGGTTTGAGAAGGGGGAAGAGATTGAGGAGAGTATTAGAAAGGATGAATCTGATCACAGTACATTTATGCATATATGAATATGGCAAAAATAGAGGCATGCAGCCTCTAGTATCTGACAACAAGGAAATAGGGACCTTAGCCCTATAATTGCAAGGACCTAAACTGGGCCAACAACCTGGAAGAGCAAGCTTTTCCAAGGAAGCGTACACAGAATTATTAGCCATGCCCTCATGTCAACTTTAGTAGACATTTTTTTTAATTATTTTTTTATTGTAAAGATACTATACAGAGGGTTACAGATACATGAGTGAGGTAATGAGTACACTTCCTCTTGAACATTGTTAGCCCCTCCATTGTTTTCCCCCTACCATCCCCTCCCTCCCTCCCTTCCCCGAAGGTAGGGATGCATGAATTATTTCTGAAAAGAATTTGAATATTTGATGTATTTGTTATTTCTACTTTTCATTCTGTTTTTCACTAAAGAAATATAGTCCCTATTTTAGTGTGAGGAATGCCCATTCACACTGATCAAAAATATTGCATGCAGGATTGCCAGCAAAAGTCAAATGTGTATGTGTAGCTCAAGTGGTCGAGCACCAGCCTTGAATGAAAAATCCAAATGAGAGTGAGAAGCCTTGAGTTCAACCCCCAGTACACACACACACACACACACACACACACACACACACACACACACATACACACACACACACAACAAAAGAAGATAACATTTAAATGTTTTGGATAACATAATACTAAATAATTACAACAGAGTATTCTACTTTTTCCTTGCTAAAAGGAGAGAAAATAGTTCTGGTTTAATTCTCTGTGTCACTTGTTTATATGTAGACTTCATGTGCATGAAAATATGTTCTTCAAATATATTTTTCACATATGATATCTCTTATCAAGAGTTACATTCCTCATGAGCTGATAAGAAGGAATTGTTCTTTTGCTAGCAATTGCAGTTATTTATGTGTTGACAAGGAAAAATTTATGGGATAAAAAGAAAAGAGATTAAATGTGTGATGTCTATGTTTTTATATGTGTTGACACATATTAAATGTTTACACAGAGAAATTACTTGGAGTAAAAGTCTGTGGTCTATAATACACTGCCATTTTCTTTCTTGATGCTTATAAAAACCAAAGTGAAAACTATGTTTTTTATCAGTAATATGGACATAGATTCAAAAAACAAAACAACCCTAATATTTATTTATTTATTGACTATTGTTGTTCACTTATTAGTGAAATCTCAGAAATTTCAACCTTATTTCAGGGAACTTTTTTAAGCAAGTGAGTAAAAGGATGTAAATATTAATTGTAATTACTGACAGACACTAAAGGACGGTTAATGTAGCCAGTAATTATTATGCTGTTCAAGCTTGCATTTTGCATTTTTTGACAATTTGAAAGGACTGTCATTTTCTCATTATCTTTTGATCCAGGGTAGCAAAATGAATTCGTTATAGATTTCTGCCCTTAGGCTCAGATCTGATCATGAGATTTGTTTGGTATTTAAATTCTTTTTTTTTTTTTGTCAGTCATGAGGCTTTAACTCTGGGCCTGGGCACTGTCCCTGAGCTCTTCAGCTCACGGCAACTGCTCTACGATTTGAGCCACAGCACCACTTTTGGGTTTTCTGGTAGTTAACTGGAGATAAGAGTCTCACAGACATCCCTGCTAGGGCAGGTTTTGAACAGCAATCCTCAGATCTCAGCTTCCTGAGTAGCTAGGATTACAGGTGTGAGCCACCGGTGCCCAGGTTAGTATCTAAATTCTGAAGGATTTTTTAGTTCTGGGAAGGGTTCTGATCAGAGACTGAGATATGGAAAACCAGTTGGGCTCTGTGTTCTTCAAGAATGTGGATTCACAATGATCTTACATTGGTTAAACAGAGTGTATGACAACTTATATGTGTCTACCTCAGAATAGGCCTGTGGGAATTTCAGAAGAGCAGAGCAGCATGAATAGTCCTATAATAAAATGCTGTCTCCTTGAAGAAAGCAAAAGCAGAAATCAAGTGTATTACTTTGTGTATTATCTAAGGACAGTTTTTAGAAGAATCTACCACTATTTAAGGGGAGAAATTTATTTCTATTATCCCTTTATTACTGAGATGTTGTGTTTCTAAGTAAACTATTATCAGATAGAGCATTAGTAATCTATTTGCATATAAGAATATGTGCAAGCAAAAGTGGAGGGACAAATGGTAAAGATGCAGCAGTGGTATTCACTAGACACTGTGTTGAAAATGAACTATACAATGTGCGGCTGGCAATGGAAGGGCGAAACTGGGAGAGAGTGAAGGAAGGGGTGATAGGGTCCACGAAGAAATGAACTCATTACCTGACTTATGAAACAGTAACCCCTCTGTATATCATCTTTATCATAACAATAACAGACTTAAAAATGTTTGAGAGGAAAAAAAAAAGAATATTTGCAAAAAGAGATGGTCCTGCTTGGGTGCTATTGTGGGCTTGTCTTTCCCTCATTTCAGCTGTTGTACATGACCGACCTTCCTTATTTGCATATAATTGGGGCAAGTGATTCAGATTACATTGGTAAACTTTCCTGCTATACACGGAAACTATCTGAAAGTTTTTGTGCTCACTTAGCCCCTTGATTAATGCTTTTGGTTTCTCTTTCTTTTGTAGAGATAAAGATTACCATTTAAGGACCTATAAATCTGTGGTGATGGCCAACAAATTAATAGACTGGTTAATTGCACAGGTAAATCGACAAATTGGAGTTGTTGAATTCTATTTATTGCCGCTTTAAACTTTAATTATGTGTTAGTGTTTACAAAACCCAAGCTTCCTGTAGACAAAGCAGCGTGAACTAACTTGCTCAAGTTTAAACAGCTAGTATTAACCCACTGAATTCCGGTGTTTGTGTGTTTGTTTGTGTGCTGGTTGTCCTGAGCCTTGAACTTGGGTGCTGTCCCTTAGGTGCTTTTTTTCCTCAAGGCTTTTTCTCTACCACTTGAGCCATAGCTCCACTTCTGGCTTTTTGGTGGTTAATTGGGTCTTTCCCGTCTTTCAAATTGCAACCCTCAGATCTCAGCCTCCTGAGTAGCTAGAATTACAAGTGGGTACCACTGGTGCTCAGCTCACCTTTAGAGTTCTAAAGCACACGAGCTATGCTATCTTGTCTTCCCTATTTTTAAAATAACAGCTGAGAGCCATCAGAAAGCACTAAGCAAAATTTGAGTATCATGGAAGAATAGCTATGTTTAGATTCTAAAATACTTGGCATTTTTTCCACTGATTTCTTTTAAAATATCAGTTGATAAGTCCAAGCAAATGTTTATGATGTTCCTTTGCCTTTTCCTCCTCTGAGATAAAAATTGTACTTCAATAATATGAGCTTTACTGTGTCTGCATGCCTTTGAAATGGGAAAGTACAAATTTTATTATTGTTCTTGATGTGTGCCTCTCAGGATTTGGGTTCTGACAGCTGATACTGAGAATATGTAGAACAGAGGATTTAGCTCAGTGGTAGAGTGCCTGTCTGCCATGCACAGTACCCTGGGTTCAATCCATATCACCACAGAAGTAGAGGGAAAGAGTGAGAGTGATAATTTGGTAGCTTATCATAAAATGTTTATTTTTATTTCATGTATAATAAGCCATATTTAGCTTGTCTTTGCACATGGAGCTTTAGTCTCTAGACTTTCCAAGATCGCTATAATTGAATTTTATGACACAAATTTTTACATTTAGATATTAACATTTTGGAGGAAAACAAACAATTGCTTTGAGATAATTTGTCTATCCATTGCCATCTCAGTACTAGAAACCTTCCTGAACTGAGGTCAGCTTGCTTCACTAGAATGGACTCTACATTCAATGGCTGGGATGGAATTTCACACAGAATTCACACTGCTACAGAATTCATGTGAACTTCTTGTATAATACACAGAATCCCTAAGAAATTGTGTTTGAAGTAAAGGCTGTTACTTAATAAAAGTTTATATTCTTTGGATCCTCTTCACCCCTCAGAGTCCCTTCATTTCTCTTCCCCGCTTCTTCTGATCCCCTCCTAGATGATTCTGCCTTTACTTTTACATCCCAATACCATTACTATACATCACCATTGCTATCATCATCACCATCATTATCATCATCATCATTTCAGTGTGTCCTCCAGAAACAAGTTAGAACTTGGCTTGCTGAACTCAGCTCTCTTCACTCAACATGACGACCTCCAGTTCATCCATTTTCCTACAAATAATCTAACCTAACTTGATTGCAAGAAAAAAATTCTTCCAGTTGTATTTAACTCAGGAAATCAATGATCACCTTTAAAAATGTGACACTTTTATTTTCCAAGAGTAAGGCACTATAAAAATAGACTAAAAAAATCTGGACCAAGCTGAAATGTTCCTTTGGCTTTCCTAAATGCAACATCTTTTAGAAATTGCACTAAATACTGGAATTTGAGGCCAGCTCTGCTAGTAACTCATAGGAAAACTTGAAACAAGTTACTTCATCTTTCTAGATCCTGGTTTTTGTAGCTATTTACCACTTAGAGCTCCACATACCCTATTGTCACTGAATCTTTTTGATTCTGATGTGGTAAAATGTATACAAATGTTAAATGTCATATGTACTCATTTTTTCTTATGCTTAAGCTTCATATTAGAATAGCCTGGGTGTCGTAATTGAATGATAGATCAAGCTAAAGTGCTCAATCTAATAGGAAGAACAGATTATAATTTAGGAAAGGTCTGTTGCCACTAAGACCTTCAACTAAGATTTCCTTTCCAGTATTGACTTGTATTTATTGAATGATTTGGACAGCTTTACAGGCCAGAGTAAAAAAGCTGGTGGCAGTACTGTAGTCTGTACATTGTTTTCAAGTGCAGTCTAGATTCAAAAGCTGTCTTTAGTATCTCAAGCAGTGTCATCTTGGAAATAGTGAGATTGTTTGCTTAATACAATTTTTTCTACTTAGACTATAATGGTTTGTAAGATAATAACTTCTATGAAGTAAACATCTTTCTAGTGGACAAGCGCATTAATATACTTCTAAAACTTTTAATTTGTATAAGTTGTGATTTGTGTATACACCATTAAAATTTTATGATTAAATAATGCCTTGTTTTCTCACACCTAAGCAGTTTTCTTTTGCCTTTGATGCTTGCCAGATCTATATGGCACTAATAGGATTTTCAAAACCATAGGTATACTAAAATATTTCTGGTCATATTACTACACTGCAGTGTTAATTTGACATTAGCCTGACCAGTATAGCATTTAAATAATTAATCACATAAAACTTTTATTACAAGCTTAACATTTAAATAAGCATTTAAAAGACAACAAACTAATAAAACAGTAAGTGGCTTTTTTTACACTGTCAAGGAGCTTGAGTCTGTTGGACTGATTTTTGTAAACCATATGAAACTGTTGCAGTATCATTTCCCTTATAAGTTTTACCAGGTCCTCCAAGCTCACTCAGAGTTTTTTTGCTTTTTTTGGGGGGGTGGTCTGGTCATGGGGCCTGAACTCTGGGCCTGGGCGCTGTCCCTCAGCTCTTCAGCTCAAGGCTAGCACTCTACCACTTGAGGCACAGCACCACTTCCAGTTTTTTTCTTTTTGCTTTTGTGGTGCTGAGGAATCGAAGCCAGGGCCTCATGCATGCAAGGCAAGCACTCTACCACTGAGCCACCTTCCCAGCCCCTCACTCAGAGTTTTTAATAGTCCTTATTCCCTGGATGTGTTGGCCTTGTTGGGATCATTTACTATACTAATAGATAATGGTTCTGACTGTGCACCACTTTTGAACTTACCCTCACTAGCTTTGAATTGCTAGAAGGCTGACAATGTTTTATGTTTGAATATTTCAATATTTGATCTTTAACACTTCCATAATACATAGAAGAATTTTGTGTAAGAGATTTTCAAAGAGTAACTTATATGGAGTCTGGAGCCCTTGAATGGTAAAGCTTTGGTAGTTAGCAAGGTTGCAGCCATCCCAGCACGAGGCAGAACTTACCTTGGCTCTTTATAGAAAGATAAGAAGAATTTAAATGTGTGAAGGGTGAAGAAATATTATAAGCACAAATCAATTTGTGAGTATGTAAGTAAGGCCAAGTTGCCTAGAGCAAAATATGTGGCTATTCAGCCACACTTCAGAATAAAAGCTGGACATGGCTTCAACTTAGTCTTTTTAAAGAATTATATTATTTGGGCTCTTCATAGAGACTCTTACACTTCAGTTAATAAATTTGTAATCCCTTGCTTACCACTGATTGTATTTACTTGTATATTTATTGGCACATTCTAGCTACAAATGAGGGAAACTATACAAGCTATGTTAAATAAGTACAAGAAAATGGGTACTTGCAAGAAGGGGGGGTGCAGCCAGGAGGAGAGGGGTAGAAGAGTGGAAGTGGAAATGTTGGCAAGAGTTCATTGTATATATCACAGAATTGAGAAATATAAGGCAAGGGATGGGTCAAAGTGAGGCAGAGATGTAGAAGTGGTGACACAGATCAAGGTGTATTATACACATAACTGCTTTGTTAAATTGCAGAAATGTCAATACCTAACCTAAAAATAAGATAAGCAAGGGAAGGGAGTAAGTTGGTAGAGGTGTGTGAGAATATTGAAAGGGATGACATTGGTTAAGATACACTGACTTATAAACTGCTCTGGTGAAGGGCAGCTCCTATGTACAGCTACTTAAAGATCATAAAAATATTTTTTTTACAAAAACAGGACATAAAGGGTCTTGAAAGCTGGGATGAAGACTCATGACTATAATTCTAGCTACAGTGGAAGCTGAGATCGGAGGAAGCCACTGGGGACAGACAAATCCCAGAGATGCTTATCACCAATTACCCAGCAAAGAACAGGAAATAGAAGTGTGGCTCAAGTGATAGAGTGCCAGGCTTGAGTGGAAAAATCTAAACAAGAGCATAAGGCTATGAGTTCAAGCCTCATTATTGGGACACACACTGCGCATGTGAATTCTACAGCAGCTTATTGGAGAAAGTCTGAAAAGCATGGCAATTTGGATGAAAATGTTGAAGACAGAAGTTGAATAGGAACAATAAAAGACTAGATTTGAGAGAGTACCTAAGTGTTAAGAAATATAGGACTAAGACAGAAATTAGATGATGTGTGAGGAAAAAGCTTAACCCATTGAAATATATAATTGTGAGGTTATGTACATACACAGATACCTACATATTCATATAGATTCATGATTTCAATGTCATATCAATATTAAATGGGTGTTTTCTATATAAAAATAATTTTGTTGGATTGTGTCATGTGCTGATTATTTTCTTGACAAGATTGTGAAAGAGAAGTTTGCATTTGCTGGCTTAGCGAACAGTTTTCTATTACAGTCTTACAAGTCACCATCCAGAGAGCCTTTTTCCTGCCAAGGGCCATTTTGATATTATAACATCATTTTCAGGCCATATGAAATGATCAATATAGACAGTTGGGCCAGGGCAGCCAGTGAGAGTGGACAAGAAGCACATGTTTCTGACCTGTCATGTACCAAATGATTTCATGGGCCTTAAATGGCCCTTGGGCCAGATGTTCCCCACCCCAGGATGCTTAAGGGGCCCTTCAGGTTCAGAGATATTTGGTGGAAGGGAGGACTGAGGACTGAGATCATGTACTTTTCCTTACCTTTATAGTGTGTTGTCACTTTATAGTCTATTTCTCTAATGCATATTTGGGAGATACCATTTAAGAAAGAAGAGTGACAACTTACAGAAAGGGATAATTCATAAAAGCAGTACACATTTTCTACTTGCATTATTTTCATGTTTAAATGTTCACAAATAAAATTTAAAAAAAAAGATCTTTTTCTCAACAAATCTTAAAGTTACAGTGGCTCATACCTGTAACCCTGACTATTCAAGAAGCTGAGCAGGAAAGTCCATGAGATTCTTATGTTCAGTTAATCACCAAGAAGCCAGAAGTGGAGCTGTAGCTCAAACGGTGAAGTGCCAGCATTGAGCAGAAGAAGCTAAGGGACAGTGACCAGGAACTGATCTCAAGTCCCAGTATTGGTACAGACAGACAGGCAGGCAGGCAGACAGACAGACAGACAGACAGACAGACAGACACACACACACACACACACACACACACACAACACACACACACAAAAAGAAATACTAAATTTTTGCATTGAATAACGAAGACTTTGTTTGCAGTACATGTATCCATGGCTTATAACAATTAGATTAATCTTGTCTTATGAAGCCATGGATGCTGTACTGTATGAATGCTTTATCTGAATGCAGTATGAGAATATGGAATTTACTAAGACCCAGCCAAACCTTTGGTTGCCTAGTAACATGCACAATGCTTCTTTGGTTCACAGGGGGATTGCCGCACCAGAGAAGAGGCAATGATATTTGGTGTTGGACTGTGTGACAATGGATTTATGCACCATGGTGAGGAGAAGTTTACAGATGTAATTCATTGTTTGGATTCTTCTTGGGACATGGGGAGTGTCTCAGGGTTCCAATGAGGTCAATGTGAACCAGCAAGACTGAGTCTTGCCCTGGGTTCGTGTTGAGTCACACCATCTGCAATCCATTTTACCACTAGTGTTGTGTCTGTCAAATTGCTGTCATTTACCAGCTGCCATAACTTCGCTGTCCTTTCTCCAGAATTTACTAATTTCACAAGAGCCGAGCTTGAGTGAGTACTTTGGTTTAGCTTTCAGAAAGCGCAAATACATCTTTATATTGATTTCAAATTACAGAATCCTGGTTTACTTTTGAGTAACAATATACAACTAACTGTGGTTAAATGTGGTTAAATGTTTATTGTTCTTTCTAGGAAAATATTTTCGATGTTACTTTAGAGAATTAAATTATAGATCTCTGGGAAGATGTTTCCTTATTATTAGAGTTTGAGTGTCTTTCTTGCCAGTTTTACTTCTCCAGATTTGTACCATCTTATAGAGATATTTGGTGGAAAGTATTAAATTCAAACATTATATTTTCAGTTACCACTATGATTGTAAACATATTTAATAGCACTCATATCTATTAGCTGTTTTTAGAAAGTTGTTTATTGCCTATTCTTTGAAGAAGTCTGTGATATCTTGCTCTGCTTAGATCACTATGTTATGATATAGAAATATTATTACCCAAAGAAAAAAATGACTGATTGGAAGAAATTGCCTCATTATAAAGAATGAAAACTATAATATCAAACAGAAATCCCCAAAGTTTCAGTGGTTTTTCTCTTTACCTTAAAGTATCAGCAACAATAATTTGATCTGAATATTTAAAGTACTGAGTCTAAGTTTTGTAAAATATTGAGTTACAAGTTATCCCTTTAAAAGTCCATCACTAAAGCACAACAAGTTTGACTCATTCCTATCTTTCCTGATTCCTTCTGTTGCTCCATTTTTATGGGATCTTTGTGGGGGAAAACAGCTGTAACACCATGTGAATTCTGCTTAGGTCATTCAGACAAGACTTGACCCAATCAGAAATAAATTCTCATTTCTGTGGTCTTCTGTAGCTCATGCTGCCTATTACTTGTTGGCAGGTAGATTCATTTAATTCATGTTGCATCTAATCTTCTATCCATTATATATTCCATCAATCTGGTCAATAATTACTTGTTGGGACTCTGAAAAAATAATGAAGTAAAAGGTTCTTTTGGATTACTTGCAATATGCCAAGTTATTTACATGCATTACCTCATTTTAGTCTAATGTAACATTATGAAGATTTTAATTGCCTTCATTTTGAACATGAGAAAATTAAAGTTCAGAGTGTTAAAGTAACTTTCATGCTGTCATACTCAGAACCAGCCCCAAACTTGGACTGATTCTTCTCAAAGCCTGACTTTCTATTGTGCCCAGAGACTACTGTGTTCCTTTTAGCAACTAGATCTATGAGTTAGCCTTCAAGGTACTAAAGACAGATGAATTAGAAATAGATTTCTTTTCAAAGTCTTTTTGACAGCTGTCAAAATCTGATTCAGTAGAAGCTCTTCCTGTCAGTATTTAGCCTTACTTGAAACAAAGGTTGCCCAAAGATAAAATCTTATATTGTTGAGTACAAACTGGGTATCCTAGGGGCTTGGGGAGAACATAAAGGTTTAAAGGGGAGATAACTCCCTTTTAGAAATAGGGTTAATTTGAAGCTGAGTGGTGGTGGCTTAAGTGGTAGAACACCAGCCTTGAGTGAAAAAATTAAGGGACAGTGCCCTGAGTTCAAGGCCCTCAATACCTTCACAAAAAGAAAAGGAAGAAAGGAAGGGGAAAAATGAAAATAAAATCGTTTATTCAAGAACATTGTTTTAAGACATCAAATAATTAGTAATTCATGGAAACTAAGATCATATTTCATCCAGAAGACATTTCTGCTTTGAAGTTTTGAAACAAGTGTCCCTAGACATTTAGAAAGCTAAACCGCAACCCATTTGAATTTTCCCATAATTGTTCAGGCTATTAAAAATTAAAATGTTTACTAAAAGTTAACATTTCTACATTTAGAGTGTGTGCATTTTGAGCTTCTTATATCCTTTTACTTAAATCCTTTTACTTTTAATCTGGATAATAACAGACTTGATTAGAATAGGAAGAATTAATTTTAGAAAAATCCTACTGTTTCCAAGATCTGAAACCCTGTAGGTAACAACAGTAAGCTTGAAGGAAGCATTGGCTTGAGATTATATAAACAGACAATAATTGGGGATATTTATGAATGATTTGTCTGTGAATATGAAATTTAGTTTGTAAGCAGGTCTTGCTGGTATGGAAATATGAAGTCCTACTGGTATGGAAAGTGTGTTTTTTTAAATGAAGTGAAATAATTGTTTTGCTCTATTTCTGTAGTCCTTGAAAAAAGTGAGTTCAAAGATGAGCCCCTGCTTTTCCGTTTTTTTGCGGATGAGGAAATGGAAGGATCAAATATGAAACATCGACTTATGAAACATGATTTAAAAGTTGTGGAAAATGTGATAGCTAAATCACTGTTGGTAGGTGGATTAATCTATAACATTTTGGGTTGATTATTGATTAGCAGTGAACTGCACTAACATTAACATGTCTGATAGTAATACCTCTCATATCATTCAATTTTATTAGTAACCTTCTTCATAGTTGTTTAATCAACAACATTAATATTTTACATTTCAGATTAAGTCTAATGAAGGCAGCTATGGATTTGGGCTAGAAGACAAAAATAAAGTTCCCATCATCAAGTTGGTAGAAAAGGGATCTAATGCTGAGGTAATGCAAATTAGTCCTTTCATTCAAATTTATGGCATTTATATACAAATATTAAAGTTCTAGAGTAAACTGAAATTAATCATTGGGTATATTTACAAAAGGTAGTATCTCTGGATATACTTTCTTTGGGATTTGTGGCACCTGAGGCTCTGCCTGGGCACTCAGAGGTAAGTAAGGCGGGGGCGGTGAGGGTATTGCAGCTCTGAACTTCTGGCCCTCTTCTGTGTGCCTGAGGCAGCCCTGGGGGACTGACTGCCTAGGATATAATGCAGGATATGACAGCTGTACTATGTATGTCACGTGGACCACTTCTTCACCTAAGGAATGTATTGAAATATATTGAAAATGGATTTTCCCACCATGTCTGTCTTTTCTATGAACATAAATTCCATCAGTAAAGGACATGCCTTGAATTTTTTTTCTCCTTGGATTATGACAGACATTCCCTTACTTGGCCAGGTTTTTAAACAGAGGAATCACCTTAGTGTTTAATCTTTTATTCAGAAATATTTAGTTAATAGTTGATAGGGCTAGGTCGTATTCTAGGTTATGGGACTAAACAGAATTTCCTGCTTTCTTTCCAGTTGAAATATGGCACTTTGCTGCTTGACTTGAAAAATACGTAATGCACAAGGATATATCTCAATACTCAAACACTTACTAACAAATGTGTGAATTAATAAAATAAAACTTTGAACTGAGAGTGTATTTATAGTCAGTGATAACTTGTCACCCACCTGCTAATGCCAAGGTCTTTTTTTAAAAATAAACTGCAAATATATATAAAATAAAACTTGATGTATGGCACATTAACTCCAGACAAAAGAACTCTGGTTGTCTCTTATGCCATTAGTGAACCTGGAAAATGAATTGACTGTATTTACTAATTTCCTATGAGAAGACATTTCAGGCTTTTTTAGAGAACACTTTAGAGCATAGCTTCATCAGACTATGCTGTTGATTAAAAAGTGTCCTCTCCCTGGTGTTGATCATTAGCTGGCAGTCAAACAAGCCAGGAGTTTGCAGGCAGGAAGTTGGACTGATAGAAGAGTATCTTAGCCAGGGCACTGGTCGCTCATGCTGGTAATTGTAGCTACTTGGGAGGCTGAGACTCAGAGGATCTCAGTTCAAAAGCAGCCTGGGAAAACTCAGCCTTGTAAAAGCTAAAAACCTTTACTAGTTTATTTGAATTATTTTTGTCATTTCTTTCTCAGATGGCTGGCATGGAAGTTGGAAGGAAGATTTTTGCTATTAATGGTGACCTTGTTTTTATGAGACCTTTCAATGAAGTGGACTGTTTCCTGAAGTCATGCTTAAACAGCAGAAAGCCTCTAAGAGTTCTTGTGAGCACAAAGCCAAGGGAGTAAGTTGTTATGACTTTTGTGGAATTACAAAAATGATATGTGGATGGTTAACGGAAGTTTAACAGATTAAATGTTGAAAATCAACTTCATACCTTAGAGCATTTAACATACCCCCTCACCACTAATACTAGTCTTTAAGCAATGGGAAGAATTCTGTTTCTTTTGGTGATAAATGCTTTATGCTTGAACGGGCAAAATCAGTGGAATAATGCTTTCCTTTGGTTGCCAACAATTTCTTGCTCTGGGTGAGGTTGACTTTGATTCTGAAAAAATCAGCAAATTGAGAATAAAGAACTGCATGTTGAGCTATTGGATTTCTCATGCTATGAGGTACAATTCAGGGGTCATAAACAATAAGATCAAGCCTGAAAAAACTCCATGTGTATGTCTCCTTAATTCTATGATAGTTCCTATAAAAAGTACTCAATCCAAATCCATTTCTTGATCTATATACTTTTGATAAGAAAATATGCTCCTCTTTATTATGGACAATTTAGAAGATACAAAAATTTCAAAAGGAAGACATTTTTTTCTTGTAATCATATTACCCATTAATGGCCATACTAGGGCTTGAACTCAGGGCCATGCTTGTCCTTTTTGTTCAAGGCTGGAGTTCCACCATTTGAACCACAGTTCCATTTCTGGGATTTTTGATGTTAATTAGAAATAAGAGTCTCACAGACTTTTCTACTGGGGCTGGCTTGGAACCACAGTGGTCAGATTTCAGCCTCCTGAGTAGCTAGGATTACAAGTTGTAAGCCATGGTGTCCATGATGTGATATCTTTTCTAATATTCCTTGCTTTCCATTACTGCTCTCTGATGGCTTATTTCCTTCTGTGAGAGGTCTTGTTTCTTTTCTCTCGCTTAAAAAAAAAAACTTTAAGTGGTTGTACAAAGGCTTTGCCATTCAGTGTACCCCCATCAGTGCACTGCAAATTATATGCCAACAACATTGTCTTTCTTTGTATTTACTTATTTATTTTTGGTGCTCTGCGGTTTAAAGTCAGGGTCTACCCACTGTCCTTGAGGTTTTGTGTTCAAGGCTAATTCTCTGCCACTTGAGCCATAGCTCCACTTCCAACTTCTTTTTGGGTAGCTAATTAAAAAATGAATCTCATGGATTTTCCTGCACTGGCTGGCTTCAAACCATCCTCGGATCTCAGCTTCCTGAGTAGCTAGGATTACAGGCCTGAGCCACTGGAGGCCTGGCTTCAATAGTGTTGTTTTTCTGTGTATGTTCTATGAAGCTTTCTGTATCAATGAACTTAAGGAGCTTCTCTAAATTATTTTAAGTATGGAGGAGCGAATTCAAAGCTAGGTTTGCCTGTTTCTTTTCCTTCCCAGAGCAGGTTCTTTTTCCAGAATATACCGTGGTACAACTGTGTTTAATTTTAGCACTTACATCGATGCATTTCATATGCCTATGTGAACGTTAAGACCATGTTTGTTTTCAAGGGCTTCCTATCCAGTGCCTTTCACACTGTAATCCCTTTATTGTGTATTGATTAAATGAATAAGCAAAAGTGTAGAAGACTATCCTTTTGATCAATTGTGGCACGCAAAATTTATCTTGCTTTACTTTCGGATTGATTTTAGGACAGTGAAAATTCCAGATTCAGCCGATGGACTTGGATTCCAGATTCGAGGATTTGGCCCTTCTGTTGTGCATGCAGTAGGAAGAGGTAAGGAATTCATTTTGCATGCTAAACACCTCCACACCGTTCTTTGGCTGGTCCTTATAGAACATGAATATATTTAAGTTATTTTCTCCTTATTCTTTTTTTTTCATTCTGCTTATTGAATGGCATTCTGGTAATATATTACTTTAAAAAAACTTGAGAAATTCTAATACATTCATTATTGTTAAAAATTTAATTTAAAATGACACTGCATATCTTACTTTTCTGTACATTCTGTTTAGTTGAAGGATACAATGAACTTAAAAGTTGTCTGTTTGCATTTTTCTTGACTGTAAATAGATGAATTTTTTGTTAGTAATTTAAGAATGTGTGGTCAGGCTTCCAAGTGCTCTGTGGGTCTTATAACCTGTTGTGATGTAGATTCTTCAAGAATTCTCATGAATTCTTGGCTAAACCTTACCATATTACTCATTTTAAATAATTTTAATGACTTAAAAACCTCTTTTTATTCTCTTTGAAAGGCAAATCAGTTATTGATGTCTTCAGTGATATGAATTTTCTTTTATGATGACAGTAGTAATAATGGAAGGGCATAATAGATCTTATGTTACTAAACATAGCAGCTGGCCTCCGTGAATAGGTCTCATATGAGCTGGCCTGGGTGAATAGGGGTGCAGGTATTTTTGTTGTATTCTGCCATGCAACCAAAAGTTTGGTCTCCTCCTCCTCCTCCTCCTCCTCCTCCTCCTCCTCCTCTTCC